AAAATAGTTTTTCCAATAACTGCAAAGCTTAGGAAGTTCCATGTTGACCACAAGCACAATGTCAAGTTGTCGAAGCATAGTGATGAGTTTGTCCAAACGCTTCAACAGTTCGCGAAACAACGCCTTATGCTCCTGGATCTTTGCTTGGCCTTCTTGAGTCTGACCATTGATATTGTTCCAGGGGCATCCACCCGTACACGGAAGTGAAGCATGAACCATCACGCAGGGCGGTATTTTAGACTTGACATTCTTCCTGAAAATTTGCACCTCGTCAAATATCCACTGCAACGTATCTGCAACCAATGCATTCTGACGTTCAGCTACTCTCAGCACTTTGCAACCATGTGCGGGTAATCTTGATTTGTCGCCGAGCTTGGAATCATCCGAACAGCAAAATTCGCACAAGAAACAATCATATATGTTTCATGCGTGGAAACGGCAGAAGCTTGCGCTTCGCTAGTGGGGGCTGGCTTGATTGTAATGTGTCCATCCAACTGCACCCACCGTACTCCAATAAGATTGCAAGCATGATCCCATTTTGCTTTGCTCGTGAACGGCTTGGTCAAGATGTCCGCAACCTGATAAACAGTGTTGACGTTGACGAGATTGAAGAAACCTTTCAAAAATTGTTCTCGAAGCCATGCCAAAGAAGTTCTTGCATGACGAAGCTGTGCGGAATTTCCAGTCTGAATGATGTGAGTTGTTGCTTGATTGTCTTCACAAAAGGCAACTTTACAATTCATCCGGAGAACATGGCTTGTCGTCGGCAATAGCTTGCTTTGCGGGAAAAACAAACGTCTCATCAAGCAGACTGAACTCATACTGCTTGACCCTGAGGGGATTGATGTCACCCGTTCGCAGTTTGTCCGGCAGGTTCTTGAGCGGCAATACCAAAATCTCGTGTGTGTAGGTAAAGCCAGGTTGCACATGATAGCCAACAAAAACGCCAACATCCGAAGTGGGCAGAAATTTGGACTGCTTCGAATCGACGCGCTGGCGATTGATCCAATACGACAACTTTGCACCAAATGGAATCTTCGCGTCAGGAAACTCATCCCCGAAACGCAAAGCCCAAGGCGACTTGTCCTTGTCATCTGGAATTGTAACATTGAGAGCAAATGCATGATGTTGAGCTGCCAAAGGCTAAAGCTCAACCGGCAAACCACTTTGAAACAAATTTGCCCTTGCTCCCTCCAGGATTGTACGGATCTCGCGCTCGATCACCCCAGAAGATTGACTGACATATGGTTGGCTTAGAACATGTCTCCAACCCATACTCTTCACCGCAGCTGCAATTTCGCCAGCGTTGTCGGAATAGAAAATCCCAACGTGGTCATCTGGCTTCGTGAAATGTTGACATGCACGAACGCAACTGTGAGCATCTTGCCTTGCTGAAGGGTAAAAATACCGGAGCTGCGTGAAAACATCTTTCACAACCAAAGCAACACACTCACCTTTGAACCCATACATTTCGTCCTTTGAGATAACATGGTCAGCAGTTACATGATCTCCAAACGCTTTTGCATCCACTGAAGAAGATCCATGTCTGCGACGAGCTTGAGGCGCTTGCATTTTTGCTCGTACACATGTTTCGCAAAACGGATTCTTGGGCCTGTGAGTGAAAAGATGCTCTTCACTTTTGGCCTCACGCATCATCTTTTCAACGCTTGGACATTTGCTTTGGAGCTTCAACGCTTTCAGGGTGCTTATCTCAAAAGGGGAAGCTTGAGGAATCGAGGCAGTCGATTCAAACACCGCTGGTGGCATTCGAGTCAAGCTGTTCTTTGGCTGCGCAGCCCCCAAACTTGAAGCAAGAAACAACTTGATTCGGAGCCACCAGGAACCCATGGCAGCCTGACGGGTGACTAGTGGTCCAAGGACAAAGGATCATGAGCTTCCCACGGCTTCCCTTGTAACTCCTACATGTTCAATCAAAGCGTGTGGGGTCTAGTCATCTGTATCCAGACAGCTCAGGTGACTGCGTGAGAATCTGCATTTCATGCGAGTGACGACCTCGTTCAACTGATCGATGGAGGAATCCGCAATCTTGCCTGCGCAAATTGAGCCATTTGCTGTTCAATCGATTAAGATTGATTGGAGTCGATGCAGGATTGATTCTCTGTTGAAGTGGAACTGCACGCTCTGTGTCAACCAGGTCTTGTTCGCTACCTGTGTCGACGATCCACTGACGAAGCCCTGCTGGTGCTAGCGCGGCAATCTGCTCCGGCACTTCATCAAGATTCGTCTCATCGTCATCAATCCAACAACCAGGACAACACAAACCGCAATAAATTGGGTCATTGTCATCATAGTAATCGCAAAAGAACCCACAAGGCGCGTTGTAATTTGCCTGCATCAACTCTATAACCCCTTCCAGAATCAAAGCTTTGTCAATAGCATCAATAAGATTTTCGGGGTTTGAGCCAGGTGCATGACCATCATACCACACCACCTCAGGATTGTTTGGCTTTGGAGCACATGATAGGCGCAACCCACTGGCCTCGATCTCGACGATCTCGACATCATCTGCGAATTTGACACACCTGCGGATATTTGACACATCTGTACTGCAAATGAAAATCGTTTGCCCTGTCCAGTATTGCTCCAAACCTTCATCAGGATCCGCCCAGAAATCACCAAAAACTTGCTCTTTGCCATTGATATTGGCCTTGGTGATGCGCTGATCCAACAAACATTCCAGCGAAACAGGAAGGTCTTTTGCATTCTTTGGATCATAAAGCGCCTTTCGGGGCATCAGATGGTGTCGAATAACCATCTCGTTCACAGAGTCGACCTCCCAGAAATCCGGCATGCTGCGAGCATGCATTGGTCTCTTTCACCCTCAGACACACAGCGGCTGAGGACTCGCCCTTTTTGCTCTGGGATCGCTTTCTCCCTTTTCCCTTCGGGGTGGGAGACCTACCTCTGCTGGCCCCTTTCTTCGGGCTCGGCTTATCCGTTGCAGGTGAGAAGACCGAGTCTCATGCGAAACCTTACAGTTGTCTCCAGGAGTGCACTTTCTCTGACCACGTTTGAAAAACCTGCACGGGATCTTTTTCAGCTCCGCTCTCTTTCTCGATGCTGACCGATCCCTGTCCCTTCCCTGGCTGTCAGAGCGCCCCCGACCTTTTCCTTTCGGATTCTGGCTCGGGGGTCTTGGGTCTTTCTCATGCTTGTATACATGCAGTTCTCCCGAGTGCACTTGCCTTTCTGAAAATCGAAGCAATACTTGACTGCTGAAGGATCTCTTGCACGCCCAGGATTTGCAGTTGGAGCTGGAGCTCCGACCTTCTGATTGTGAGCTCGAGCAACACGACCACGTTTTGACTGCAATCGTTCCCGAGTCAAAACATCACGAACGGCTTGAACAAGAAACTCGTAGCTCTTGTCATACGACCCATCTTTGGCACGCTCGTATGTATCAAGGTCATACTTGATCTTGCGACATCCACGAATCTGTCGCAAGAATATGTCCTTCAAGACGTGCTGCTCCGCAACGATCTTTATGCCAGCAATGACGGAATCCCAATTTTGAATGAAGGTCATCAAACCATTGCCATGAAGCACCACCTTTAACAAATCTTCAGTGGAATACAACGCTCCAGCCTCCTCATTCGTTCTGATATATTGTTCGAACACGAGAAGAACTTGACGTCCACGGACAACTCTGTCCAAAGCAGCTTGTTGCTCCTTGTAGGTGAGGATTTGCCGACTAAGGTCGCCCCTAGCAATCCGCGACAAGGCTGCAAGAAGCTTTGTATCCAACGTTTCAAACTGCTCTGGATCTCCAAGCTCTAACATGAGATTCTTGTTGTCCTCCCGGTTGACGTACACCTTGTTCACCCAGGTGAATGCAGCATCAGGCCGATCAGATGCAGCCCGAATCTCTTCGCGAGTAGCCGCTTTCCAGGCTCTATAAGTCTCAGGAGTTGGAGAATCAGCTTCCTTTGCTTTGGGCCGATCATGCTGGTTCCGGACAAAGCTCGGCTGGCTCTCCTGATTTCGGCTGCGTTCCTGCTCCGAAAACCGTCTCGCATCCTGATTGATATCAAACTGCATTGCACCAAAAATGGGGTCTGTCCAACTCTGCTGTGGAATAATCTGAGGCAAAGGTCCGGAAGTCTGAGCATTTGTGTTGGGAAAAGACGCGGATCACCAAAGATATTGCCCTTTTTGTTGAAAAATGACTCTGAGCTGACGTTCTGGAAACTGGATGCAGGTTGGGGATCTTTACGCACCATTTCACGCTGCGCCTTTTCAACATCGCTCCTCAGACGCTCAAAGGTGTCGTTCAGCCCGTTGGTCGTGTCCTGCATGGAATGACTCAGCTTCGTTTACTTCGGCAGAAATTGCTCCCCGCATCTGGATAACCTGGGCACTGAAGAAAGCACGGGACTCTGCAAACTGTTCATGCAGCTCAAGAGTCCTGCGGCTGTTCTCCTCATCCAGGCGACGCAAAATGAGCGCAATACTCCGCTCTTGCAGCCAGCGTCCATTGCAACGCGATGTAACGTGTTGGCTTCTTCCCGAACAGCGTCACCCGTGTCGTTGTGCACATGCATAACATTCTGGGTGGCCTGGTAGTTTGTCGCGAATCCAAACATGTTTCGAGGATCGCGTGGGTCCACAGGACCTGTAGATGCAACTGCACCATCACCACCGTCACCAACGTCTCCATATATATTGTATATAGCAGGCGTATCCCCGGATGCCATGGCGATCTTTGTGCAAGCCTTTACGGCTGATAACCTGTGTTATCAAGCCTACGCCACCTTAGGGGAAATACCTAGGCAAGCAGCAAACCGTTGACTACCTTTTCACACTGCTGTCAGTGATCTTGAAGTCTATGGCAGGCGAAGCATACACATGCATAGGGTTGGAACCTGAATCCACAGTGCTCCCTGGAATGGCGCAAGCCCACGGTCAGTTCGGACCACGCCTGCTAAAACTTGGCCCTTTTGGCAGGTTTTGGCCGGCCAAAGACATCCTCTCCGAGCTGCTCCGCGGTGGCACATTGTCCCTTCTTCAGCCCTCCGTCCTTCACTCCCAAGCACTCCCCGGTGCCATGCCAGATGTGCCCATCCGCGTCGAAGATGAACCTCACGGGTCATTTGTGTCCGAACAGCATTTGTCAACCATCTCAGGCTGACTGGTGTAACCCTAAGCCCTTCAAAGGTGTAAAAAGCTGTGCCCCAAGCCGACCATTCCAATCGTCAGCTGAGACAGAGACAAACACACAAACACACACCATTGAGCAACCAACACATTGTGCTCTGGCAAGTTGCTGCTGGCTGGTGCTGTGCCCGGTGACGTCACAGAGAGCAGTCTCTGGTCCTTTGCCAGTTAGTCCAGCCCAGCAATCCTGGCAGCCACACGCTTGTGCTTTGTCAAGATGCATGTCCAACCATCTCGGAAGCCAATTCCTTTGCAGTGATATGCAGCAATCCCAACAAGGGCATCGACTCATCCCTCACTTGCTGCGCCACTCATTCATGAAGGGCGTCCAAAGATACACCCAAGGGTTTGTTTCACAAAGGGCCAGACACCCAAGGGTTTGCTTCACAAAGAACCCCCAGGTCGGGAACCCTCCGTGTCAAAGCCCCGTCCAAAGAGTTCCACTCCCGGATGCCAGAGCAGCAGGTCTCTGCCGGCTCGGTGGCCACCTAAGCCAAATGCACGTCAAGTTTCGCCGCAAAGATTCGGCGCTGGTCACAAATAGCTGGTAACCAAAAACAAAAACGGGTTGCCCTGGTACATGGAAGCAAGGACGAAAACCTGCGGTCCAATTCCTGGTGACATTTTTTGACCCAGACCCATTTGTTCATTTCGCTCCGAGGCTGCCTTAGAGAAACAAAGGTACGCACCAGCCAAAAACACGCATGAGAAGAACAGTTACTGATCATTTTGGGGCCCGGCAGATCCTTCAAGGTTCCCACCGGGCCTTTGCAGCCTCCTGATGGGAGAGGCACACGGCAAAGACCCATTTGCAGTCTGCCTGAGTCCACCACGGAGAAACGAGGGCTAGCCCCACTAATGTCCCTTATGTACCCGCAGAAGCAACATGCAAAGGGAGGGTCCCCCTTGGGGGATATTCGAGGCACAGCGCCCCCTTTCTTACACTGAGGGGTGGAGATCCTGAATCGCAATCTTCAACCGAGCTTTCAACCCATTGCGCGGAAGTGCAGGTATGAATATGCTTTGCCCTCGGATTGGGCTTGCTCAGTTGGTTAAAGGACCCAGAAATACCAGGTCAAACAGTTGGCCATCAAAACCCCGTACCGCCAGTGAACATGCCAATCACCACTAAAATACACTAAAATGGGTGGTGCACCTATCCCAAAATGGGATCCCATTGGTTTTGAACCATGGCCATGAAATGGCCATGGTTCATTTGCCGCCATCAGTAAAATGGACCTGAATGAAGGGAGCGAACAAAGGGGTCAACTCAGGCTGGTTTCAGCTGCGCTGCGTTGCACCACTCTGATCCATGGCCTTGAGGGCAGGCATCACAGCCCCCCATCCTCGGAACAAGTCACGGCCTTGGGGTGGCTTCTGTTGAGGGATATTTGAGGGTACTCTTTTGGGTTGGTGTCAATCGGCAACCAAAGGAAAACCACGAGGTTGTAGGGCCCTAAACAAAAAGAAGGCTACATCTAGGTGCGAAAACACGACGGACCTCATCACACACGCAGCCCACCCGCTTCCACAGGGGAGTTGCGAACTGCGCCGAGTCTCGCTTGATGCCCTCCACAGCTCACAAGCCGGTTCGGAGAGGATGGCCGGGGTGCAACTAAACGTGACAGCGACTCGGCCTGTGGGAACCTCGGATCTGTGAAACCATGGGTGTCTGGTTTTCTCGAGTTGGTACCCTAATCAATCCCTGGTTCAAGTCCACACCAAAGGAAAACACAACCCATTTTGTGGTCCCCATATTTTGACATATACCCATGTATCTCTTGGCAGTACTTGAGAAGTAGCAGCCTAGGCTTCCACCTTGGCTGAACTCAAGCATGACACGAGCACGTACGGATTCGGGAGTTTCCCTTCGCTTTTCAGTCGCCAAGTGCCTCATCTCCGACGCTCATTGAAACTTTCAAACTGCCTGCCAAAAAGAAGAAGCGATCAGCTTCCTCGCGAGTTTGGGCTCGGTGCTGGGTCTGGTTGGTTTCCCATTCAACAAGAACCGCATTGGGATTACTCCCTTCTAACAGAAGGCACTTTGGGGGGGCAACTGGAAGATCATGTTCCTCTTGTAGAAGCCCCGTGGCAGGTGCCATGTTGGGAGCGAGGGTGACTTGAGATGAAGGAACGAAACATGGCCGGGGGCCCCGCCCTGGCGGGATCATGTTCGCACGATGGAACCAGGTGCCACCAGAACCTGGGCGAAGGGGCCCTGCAAACAACTCAACGCACATGCACATGCAAAACAAAATAGCGAACAACACAAGCAAGCAAACAAACAAACAAACAAACAAATGTGCATCTACATAAATATGAATTCTATGTGTGTGTTTTATTATTTACAACCAACTCGCTCCTTGTCGATTTGTTTGAAGCAAACAAAATCAATTCCTGTGGCAAACCCAGCTCAGTCCATACTCTCCACAGCACCAGTCGAGCGGGCCCCACTGGCTAAGACCTCGGCAATCCGTCAGCACATAAGCCCTGTCCCGGCGCTGCAGGCACATGTTCGTGCTGCGGCTGCGGATACGAAACACCTTAGCGAGCGAAAAAGAAAAGACACCAACTCCTATAGCATCTCAGGTGCCCTCACAGTCCCGTCGAGTTTGGGTCATAAAAGCAAACAGTTGCCCTCACAATCGTCCAAACCAAATCGACCAGGCCACTCAACTGGCGAACTGCTCTGGGCGCAAATGACGGATCTAACTCGTGCGCGCTATGCAAGCTGACGTGTGCCAGCCTTGCGCACATGAATCTCAGGCTGTGGCCTTTTCGGGCAACATGCCGCTCTTCAAGTAGATCTGGGCAGTCAACGAAGGCATTTCAAACCCGGCACATCCAAGCAGCGCAAGTCAGTGCAAGCAGAACAAACTCTTCGTCTAAATCCTGGCCTTCGATTCGATCCGACTTCCTGCGTCCTTCCCACACACACGCCCACACTTGAGATCCTTCTTGTGGGCCTCTTGGACAGCCGCTCCATGACACGTCAGCAAAACATATCTCCCGAGATCGGCATGGAACAGCTTGAAAGGTATAGCAATGCCCTCAGCTGCACTTCCGTTCTTTGCGGATTCGTCTGGGTTGCAAAACCCAATTCATTCCCCTCAAGCTCTTCGGGCCAGGTCAATTCCCCCAATCCTGCCTTCCGGAAGCGGTGCAGAAAATAGGCGAAGGGCTTGCACTCCAAGCGCTTCTTCAACTCCAAGGTTTTGGTCACATCCACGTTGGGTGTCTGACCTTGCACCATGGTACGTCCATTACGTGCTGCCCGCAGGCTCCTCGCCACCACCAACGGTCCAGTGGCCCGTTCCCCGCAACCCATTTGTTATTTTCGGGCTACAGCCTGGCGCACTGTCACAGACTGTCACTTTCAAAAGGGCATGGCACACAGCAAGGATGCAAATTCATCATATATTTGATATACACACATCCAGTGATGTCCCATTGCGCTCGCACGGGTGAGCAAATCTGACATGCCGGTGAGTAGGGCTGGGTCTCGCTTGAGACCTTCTGGGCAAGGCGCCACTCCGGAATTTCGGAAGGAACTCGTCGAACCATGCAGCAGCAGTCCGCGCAACGTTGTCGTATCTCTCTCGTATTTTGTAGCGAGCTATTGTTCCTGAGCTGAGTGAACTAGCGACCCCCCTCGATTGCTCTTGCAGTGCCATGGTGGAGAACAGCAAGACTCCAGTAAACCTCGGAGCAACTGAAACACCTACGATAGGTTTGCCTAAGGTTTCCAAGTGTTTATCATAGCCCCGAAACCTTCCACAAATCATACCCTGCAAATTGAGATGGAACCTGACAAACCATCTGTTTACAGGAATCACCTTTCAGGGGCCAGCCTTTTTTGGGGCCCATTTCAATTTGCCGAGGCACGCTTGTCAGCCTCTGTTCGCCACATGTGCGCCACCACGCTACTTTTGGCCCTGAGGACGTCACCTGCCAGTTACTCATGGGTCCCTGACACGGGAGACCTCTCCTAGTTTTCATGAGCCATGTGGGTGCGTCTGTTTTTGCAGCTCCCCCCTTTTGGGTGGTTTTAAAGGGAAACCAATGGCAAACCACAATTTCGGGGGGTCCCCTCCGCTTTGTATCATTTTCCAAGAGCGCCACCGTTTTCGCCGTCGCGCATTTTACGCAACCTATGTTTTGGCTTGCGCAGCACGTGGGCTTCAAATAGGCCTTATGCAACCTCCACCTGGCATTACGGAACTTGCGGCTTACGCGGCGGCGTTTCACTTCTGCAGCTCCAGCTCGAAAACCAAGACATGAGGCAAGGGCTACTCAGAAACAACTCAAATACCTTCCGCCTTACGCAAACACTCTGTAGAGTTATGTTGGCTTCTGTGAACTGCATGGCTACGGAGAGCGTGACCAATCTCCCCAATTTCAGCAGTGCACTTGCCGATTCATCGGCCAAACTTCGCTTGACAGCTCTCAGTCTGGTGAAGTACGTGCCAAATGACCGCGAACTGTGTGCCTTGGACATCCATGGGTGCAAAGCCCAAGGGGCAAGTTGCCAGGTACAATCAATTACAGGGAGGCTTCAACCTACGAATTAACTCAGGGAGGGCCAGGACTCGTCGCTTGCATGTGACCAGTGAGAACATCACCGTGTAGATGCATAGCATTACGCACATGCTTGTTGCTTTTTGCCCCTCGACCTAAGGACTTGCACGTTTCGATGAGGTCTATTCGGGCTGTCAAGCAACAGTTGCACAAGGCTGCTCACATCTCCGTCCAAATGACCGATGGTATGAACCGAAGCGCGCCTGTGTTCTTGCTCGGGAGGCACGTTGCTGCATTCTCCTTCCACTTCTATGTCTGATTCACTGCCATCATGTTTGGCTTCTGGTTCATTGCGATTTTCATGTTCTGCATTCTTCTCGTCTTCTCCTTCCGATTCACATTTTTCTTTAATGACTTCAACATCTTCTTTCCACTCTCCTTTCCTTCATTTTCATTGCTGCGTTTCTGTCTTTCGCTTCCGTGCCTCCTTCATCAGTTCAGTCTACTGAACTGATGTGTGTCTTCTGCTTCGTTCTCGCGGTCTCTGTTTTTGAGATCCTTGCCGCCTGTATTCACACAGCCGCGTTTTGTTTGCTCACTCCGCTGGGGCGCAGCTTGCTTGTCCGGTCCGCTCCCCGGCCCACCTCCGCAAAGCCAGGTGCGGATGGGCTGCTCGGTGTTTTCCCCGCCTCAGCGATGAGGCAGGCAGAGTCTACGCCGGTTGAGTTTTTTCTCTGCGCTGCAGTACTTGAACGCTCAGGTTGAGCAATAGTCCACTTTTCCCTTTTCCCTCAAGGTATCCTCCAAACAAGGCGCCCGACTTCTCGGATCCGCACAAACTCCACTGGCACAGGGCGCTAAAAAAATGAAACGCAGAGAGAGCCTTGGCCGAGGCTCCCCAGCCATGCATCCCAGGGTCGAAGCCCCCCGATTCCTGCCACCAGCTTCGTGTGGTGGCCACTAGGCCTCCGGAGATCACAGGCGTGTAGTCCGACTCATCATCGTACCACCACCAATCCTCGTCACGACTGTCGACCAAGAAAGGCTTCGGTGTCGGTGGCTGGGGCCGGGCCATATAGACCCTTCTCACTCCAAATGCCGAAAGCACGGTGAGACCGAGCCTTTGGAAGAGTGAGTCACATCTTGGAACACGACTACCGGCGTTTGTGGGGAATGCTACTTTGGCCAAGGCTCTGCGTTGAAGTTCACCCAGCACTTGCCGACGAACCCGCCACCGGGAATCTCATCCCAGGTGTCGATGTTCAACGCCCCGATCATGGGAATGACCAACCGGCGCGACTTCGCCTTCAAAAATGCCGCCCGCCCGTTGAGAAGGTGCTCTGGCTTGCCCCCTAGTTGTTTTCTAACATGGAATCTTTTGGTGGCTAGAACCCAAGTACTATGCCTTGCTGGTTGCCTTGTTGCTATGCCTGGACGCCCCGGGTGCTTGACAGATCGGACAGTTCTGCCTGCAACAGCTGGATGGTCTCGGCATGCCAGCCCTTTCGCGGAGCGACATGACAGTCCTAAGTGCAATGCCCTCTGCCTCAAGCAATGCCGAACCAACGAGTGCTCAGATCAGGGCCTACTTCTGTTCTGCTTCTGTAACTGGATGTGGGTCAAAATTAAACCAACAGAGGACCGCAGGTTTTAGTCCATGTTTCCATTTGCCAGGGATCCATTTTGGGGTTAGCCTATTCTTGACAACCACAGCCATGTCAGGAGCAGGCAGGTCCACGGGGAACCCTCTGAAAATAGTCCGTGTTGACCTGAATCCGCGACCTGATCGGACCGGATCAAAGCTTTCGAGCAGCGTAGAAGCCTATAAACTCCCCGGTGGCAGCATCACCACCTGGCACGGGGCTTCCAAAATCTGGAAGCCCAGCCCCTCCCAGCTGCCGATCCTGTGAGGGGCTAAGTTACGCATGGTTCCCTGCTTTCCTTGCGGCACAATGGACGACATGTGATTTTAAAATCACGCCATTCTACTTCTTCAGCCCCCAAAAAGACGCCCTTAAATTCTGCCCCGTCGGGCACTTGTCGGCAAACAAATCTTAAGAGCCCCTCACTTGCAAACTGTGTCTTTCTGGGAAGCTCACTCCGTGTTTGGTCAGGGTCAAGGCTTGACGGATCTTGACAGTTGAAGAAGTTGGTGACCTGTGGATGCGGCAGAGATCGGGCCCTGTGTGTGTTGTGCCGGGGGCCTCTGGAAGAGGCAAAGTTACGCAAACCTTGGGCCTTTGGTTGTATGTTTGCAAAGCAAACAAGTCTTGTCGGGGTCCTTCCGGTTCATGGGTGGTTTGCGCAAGCTGTCTATATGGCAGTCTGTGCTGGGGACACTCTTGCGATCTTTTGCGAGCTGCTAGCAACCATAGTGGCAACACCCCTGCCCTTCCCAACCCAGTGGAAGTGAAACTCACTTGAACAAACGTCATCCCTCTCGCCCCAATTCACTTTTAGGGGGTAGGGATGTTGCAAAGGACGATGCGTCTGACGCAGGAACCCTAAAAAAGCAAATGGCACCAGAGAAGCTTAGGAAGACGTTGATTTGGGCCTTCAAGCAAGACATGTAAAGGAGGCACGATGCAGCCAGATTGCAAGAAGCTTGCTAGCGATGCTCAGCAATTGAAGATGGGAAAAAGGCGGGTCAAAACCAGGTCCAACATCCGAGGAGGAGGAAAAGGAGGAGAGCAGGAAAAGGAGCCATTCTGCCAAGCACAGGCTGCGTGGTGAAGCTGAGGTCAGACTCCAGCGTAGGAAGCGTGCGCTTCAAGCCGGCCTGTTTGCTTGGCGATCATGAGGCCGCGCGGTCCGTCCTCATGTCTCAGAACACGCAGGCGGCAACGTGGGTCCACTCGCTTCTGCAACCTCAAAGGGCGTGACTGGCTCGCTGACGCCTGCAACCAATGGGAACTGCCGAACCCCTCAAGGCCAACCACCCCATGGCAAGTCATTCGCCGAAACACCGGCTTGCAAGGACCACCCTGGTTTCTATCCTCCCGCGGAATCTTTGCAAGCCCCTGGGCCCAGGAGCATCCAGAACCCCAAAGGCGCAAAAACTTTCGGAGCGTCAGCCTGAAGAAACGCCAAAGGCCCAAGGAGAGGGAAGGCGCTTTACCTGATTGACTTGGGGGGAAGGGGGGGGCGGGAGTTTAGCACAAAAGTCCGGCACAATCTGAGGCGCTCAATAGACAAAGGCGGCTTGGAGCCATCGTCCACTACAATGATCTCTTGCAGAACTTCACTTGGCGTCCTGGGACGCAACAAGCCGCAAGCCCCAGAAGAACTATCTATCCAAACTGGGCCGTTCACTTAAGGCGCCGAGAACATCATTCATGACAAAAATGCGGCTGCCTGGCATGTCTGAGTAAATGCATCCCAGTGTGCCAGTGCCAAGCGCTACCAAAAATATCCAAGATGAAACGCATGGCTCAAATGTGCTACGGTTCATCCTTCAAAGGATGATGCTATCAAGTCACATGAAACAAAGCCAAATGAGCATTTGGCGGGGCCCGCCGCCCAGACACCCACACAAAGCGTGAAAACTCATCGTCCAACAACTGGCGCAACGTGGTGCAACGTTCCGCTGGTCATTGTTCAAGGGACCTCAAGCTGAACACCATATATACACAGTGACACATGATGCATGCTGTTTAGACTCATCTTTCAAGGCGGTCTGTTCGGAAGCTGCTAAGTTGAACGTGTGGCCCAAGATGCTAGCTTTCATCGCTCAAGTGCTGCTGAGACCTCCCACCAACATGTGTGTCCTTTTTGTGACAAACGATCTTGTCAACAGCCCCAATTGAGGGTCATGGTTCTCGTCAATCCTTGCACTTGACCTGCAACGGTGCTTGGAGTGTGGAACATGGCTTTCGCAACATGTGTTCCCCTGAAACGCGCAAGCCCGACCCCAAAACTCTACCGGTGTTGACACGGCACACTGGAAAATGACCCAACTTCAAGAGGGGGAAAAAGACAACGCAAAGGTTTTGGGCCCGAGAGCCTTTAAGGCAACGCACGATGCGCTGGACGATGATGGCATTGCGGTCCTGTTGCAAAAACTTTGCACGGTCTGCACTGCAAAGTGGGTCTCGTTCAAGCACGGCAACACCACAGAGATGCGACCTTGGCATGATCAAAGGTACTGACCCCTCTGTCTTGCATCAGATCCACTAAGAATGAGTTCAAAAAACTGCTGGAATCAGGACACAAATGCCATCTCCACTCAGGAATCTTGATGGCCAATCTAACGTAGGGATAACTGCGGCTATCCTGTTCGGCAAACCGACTCTAGAATGGTGTCCCTCATGAATAACCTTCCTGAGAGAGTGTCCTTTTCCTTGGTCGGCCACCATCACTAAAAGTGCGCCGGCCAGGTCGCCGCACAATCGCCAGTCTGATTTGTCCCTATCAAAGCCCCAATTGCGGCCTCATTTTTGAGCCAGGGATTGTTCTTCCAAATCTTGAACAACTCATGCAATGTCCATATGTTGAATCATTTTGATCACATCTTTTCAGATTTCCTGCTAAAGCCTTCAATCTCAGCCATCGTTATGTTCTCAAGCAGTCATGGCTTGGTGGGAGGAGATGACGCGGTTTCTCAGGGAGCACAAGTTGCAATGGATCCTGGATGGTGTTTTGCACGCAAAAGGCAGATGTTGGATGAATTTGGCCTTTGATTGACTTTTTGTTTCGACGCTGTCATTGAGTCACGGGTTGGCTTCAATACGTGTTTCTCTTGAGTAAATCGTGGCAACATCAACGGCAAGCTGGCCGTGGAAGTTTCCAACTCGACCTCAGCTGGTGGGATCTGATCAAAGCCAAGCTTAGCTTTCGAGGCCATCCCAATCCAAAGCCGCACGGCTCGTCTCAGAATGGGGAAATTTCAACACGCAATTCGCTCTAACTTTCCAGTGGCAAGCCTATTGGCAAGGCCCGATTGATGAGCTGAAAGCCGGCCATCAGAGCTTGCCGCAAACTCGGCATCGCGTGAACACACAGGCTGACCGCCAACTGGGCCACCGCACCCTGCCCTTCCGCCCCAGCGCCACGCTCGACACCCCGCAGTGCAGGCGACGCAGGCGCTGCAGCCAATGCAGGCGATGCAGGCGGCAGCAGCGGCGCCCCTGGCAAATGACTCAAGAAAAAACCTGAAGTACGGACATCACCCATGAGCTCAACTAAAACTCCATGGATGTTGGCCCATTTCACCTTGACCTTGCTGGGGGTTGTTTGTTTGTGAGCAGCTTCCTTTGCCGCTGTCCTGAGAGAACCGCTTTGCGGCAGGGCCCTCAAAAGTGCCAACTGCTAAAGGCACTGCTTTCCTATGGTTGATCTGCACTTGACTGGTGTTGAAAGACTTGCCCGTTTTCAAGCATTGCCAGACTTCTGCAAACCGGAAGCTTGCCGTTGAGAAAGGTGAAGACCATAAGCAGCTGCATCACCATGTTCATGAGCAGGCACGCCTTGGAGGGCATTTTGAGATTGGCACATTCAGATTTTCGGGTGCAAGGCCGACACCCGCAAATCACCTGCTGTGCTGCAAGAACCGGTTGGACCTACGCAGGGTACTGGCCCAGACCACAGAAAGCAAAGCAAACAGAAGCCCGCAGTGCACCTGGAAGGTCCTGACACCTTGGAGCGATGCCTCTGTCTCACGGGAGGAAAGGTCGGCGTACATCCAAGGCAACAAGGGCAATTGCTCAAAGCTCGCTAGCGCATGGCCCGAATGCTTCATGGCTACGAAATGCACTGGGCCGCAGGGTGTTATCCCAACATATTTCGACCTAACCTTTTCTCCAAAAAGCCTGGATCCGTGAACAATGGGACGCGCAAGCCCCTTGTCCGAAGGCTGCATTACTCTTTGCACCTGCGTAAGACTGTTGGGCCAACATGTGAGCCGTGGATAAAAGTCCTTATATGTCCTGATATATGGCCTATGGTTCCCTTAATGGGAATTAGCATAGCGAGCATTCAGGATTCTTACTACCAGGTGGATGACCATCCCTGTTATCTCGATCCAAGCAAAGGGGTTTCTTGACATGTGGCAGCCACTGGCATCATAGGGTCGTAGAGTTTAGCTGCGGCCGAAGTACGGCGCCAGCATCCAGGGAGCAGTGGGCGGTGACACCCAGAAGCGACATGAGCGCCAGGCCGGCCATGACCAGCAAAGCCGCATCATCTTCGTACCTTGGCCAGCTAATGTTATCTGATATCTGAGGATGGCAGTGGATCGAGGGGGAACATCGCCTTCGCAACCTCTTCCAGCCCAGCCTCGACACAAGCAGCAGCAATTGAAAGTACAGCACGCGAGCTTCTGCCTTGACCTGCGATGGTAGCTCTCGGAAGCACTGGGGTCCGCCAGGCACTCATCAACGGCTAGGATGTACGGGCAAACGTTGTGCATGCGGACAGGCTGCCAGCTGGTTTGTCCTGTGTCATCTGGATGCGCTGCGATGAGCCTAAGGTATATGCAAAGTGCACGGCGCGTCGCCTGCTCACAAATTCACAAAATAATAGCTGATCTTCACTTCAGCGCTGTTGCCAACGCTGTGCTCAGTGGACAAAGCCACACCCTAAAAAGAATGCATGCATGGTTTTTGACAAGAGAACGATGGGTTGAACATGGCTTCTCAACCCCTAGATCGCTGCTCGTCCAAGACGCAACACCACGAAAAGGAGTGGAACTGCCCAGCACGCGAAGCATCTCCTTAGAAAGCCAGGGACAATGGTTGCCATGATGGCCCTATGCCTAACATATTGCAAGGCGTGGTCAAACGTGGCCGGTTGCGAAACCTAGCCCGACCTGAACTAAGCTGCCGTGGTGTGGGGCAAACACATTTGCTTCTTGACCTCGCACCCCAGAAAGCCCCCCGCCCCAAAAAAAGCTTTGAAGTGACATGCATCATGTTTGTTTGCTTTGGCAGTGATCAACGGCCTTCCCGCCAAAGCGCAAGAGGAAGCGTGTCGCGAAGTCCGTGCGCCGCTTCGGCATGTCATTGCGCGGGGGCGAAAATCTAAGCCACCAGTGTAGAGAGTTTTGGTTAAAGTCCTGTAAGCCGCAAAAATGTCCTGTAGCAACTCTGAGACTTATACTCCTTTCTTTCTGGGCAAATTCATCAGCCGGGAAAAACAACAACAATCCCCAGTGAATGGGTTTTGGCCTCTGGCCCTGCCTGCATGCCAGTCCGCGGACTCCGGGCAGCTGGTCGTTGGCACAGGTGCGACGTCTGCTTGGGGGAAAGTCGCCGAATTGTCGGGGTGAAAATACTAGACCTCGGTGAAAGTACTCTCCCTCCAATCATGGAAGCTGACAGGTTTGGGAGCGTAGATGGCACAATTCCCAATGACAGCTCCCATGGAAACTGCACCGTCTAGGTTTCACAGTGGCGTAAATGTCACACAACAGCGCAACCAAAACGCAGCCAATCCGGCAATTTTGCCATGCCGCAGGCCCCTTCAGCGCTCAACTGTCCGGCTTCAGAGACCACGACGCATTCCCTATGAATTTATCCCAGACCCCCAGTGGCCATGGGAGGAAAAAAACATGTGTTGAATCTGAAAGGGAATCCCCCTGCACAATGCAAGAAGGAGGGCCCATTTCTGGGTGTCTGGGTTATTGCATGGGGGTTCCAGCTGGCGTCACAGTGGGCACGCTCGAGGGCTTCGGGGTGACGATCGTCCGGAGATCTCCGGTCAACTGCCTCGGCAGTTGAAGATCATCCGTGCGGTTCCCGCCACACACATGTGGCTGTGAGTAAAAAATACGTACCCCAAATGGAGCCCTGGTAAATAGAAACTTGGACTATCACCTGCGGTCCCCTGGTGGTTTAATTTTGACCCATGCATACATGCAAACATAAAGTGTATTGGCCAGTTGCAATGGCAATAGGGGCCGCGCCCAGAAATTAATAGTTTTCAATTTGCAACCCGCCTTGCCTGGTGCCACTCAAACAGCACATTCAGACATGCATCACACCATCAGCTTGGGTTGGGGCCCCATACATCACGCTTTCTGCATGGGACTAACACATCCATGTTGCAGAAAGATGTTCTCCTGCCCGTTGCTGGCCTGAACAAGCACGGCATGTTGCGGACTGTCGGCACATGACGTGGTCAATGCGTCCAATGCTTCAGAGACCAGGCGATAAAACACATGAAGTTGATTTGATCAGCTGCATCCAGTCAGTGAACACAACTCTGTGGTCACGATCTCGCCCAAATGCTCAATGTTGCTGGTGCCGCTTATGCCTGCTCTCATCAAGAAATAGCTTCCAGGGGGTTTGCGCCCCACTGTGGCAGGCTAGGCATCTACGACAACACTGCTTTACCACCCAAAAGCTTGACGGTGCGATGTATTCCGCTCCCGGGACAGCCTCTTGGAGCCATGCAGAAAGCGGGGTCTGATACCACTCCTCCAGCGACTGCTCCTTCAGAAACCTCGGGATCCCATGGTCCCGGGCCATTGAACTTCGTGTCGCACTGTTTGTTGCTCACTCACAGCATGCGGGCGAGTCTTCTAAGAAGACCCTGTTGGGCTTGACACAACCACTTATTTAGGGGATCCAACCTGAGAATCAACTCATAACCATGTCGTCCCTGCCGAAAGCCCTGCCTGCGGACAGCGGAGCTCAAAGCTTCGCTTTCGTAAACCTTGGCTGGACAGGAGCGCCAAGCTGTAGCCCAACCGCCAAGGTAACCTCCTCAATAACCGAGTAGCCCCACAAAGCCCCCAAAAAACGCCGCTTTTAGGCCGAAAGGCTCATTGCTGGCGATATGGGCTGGTCTCACAATAGGGGAAGCCCAGAACTGCTTGGTTTCCAATTGGGCTGAAAAAAAACCCCGTGGACAACCCTTGTATCCTTATGCCTCAGTATCGGTCAGTATCGGTTTTTTCCTCTGCATCGGTTTGCAGTGTTTTGGCAGCTCTGGCTCGAAAGTCGCGACTTTTCCGTACAAGTGTAGTATGCGAAGTACACTCTGCCAGCTCCCAGCTCCAGCTGGAAAGTCGCAACTTTTCAGTACAAGTGTAGTACACAAAGTACATGTTGGCAGCTCCAGCTGGAAAGTAGCAACTTTTCAGTAGTATGCGCAGTACACTTTGGCAGCTCCGGCTCGAAAGTCGCAGCTTTTCAGTGCAAGCAAGTGTAGTATGGTGTAGTATACGAAGTACATTTTGGCAGCTCCACAGCGGAAGTCGCAACTTTTCAGTACAAATGTAGTACACAAAGTGCATGTTGGCAGCTCCAGAGAAGGCTGCAGGGCAGCTGGTTGGATTCGGCATGGCCGCCAATGAGTTGGGTATCGGTTGGGTATCGGTTTGGGTATCGGATTGGGCCCTGCAAATTTATGATTCCGCAATCTTGGTTTGCGACAACAACTAGGACCTGATGTGTGTCTTCATGGCTTCTGGGGGTATCGTTTTTTCCTCTGTATCGGTTTACAATGGTTTTGGCCTGCGAAACAAGTTAAGGGACGGCCCCTTACATAACGAAAAGGCGCGGGGTTGTTTTTTCAGCCCAATTGGATTCCCTTCAAATCCACTCCAAAAAAGGGCACCCTTTGCCTCACAAAGCCACACCCTTCCAATGCGCAGAAACGACAGCTTTGTAACTAAAGTTAAAGGGCAGAATTACTATTTTAACATGTGAAGCCTACTGATTCAGATGAAATGGAGAGACGGCGTTGCCGTGATTTTGGGATTGCACAGGGAAACAAACCATAGCAATTGTTCCCACACGACATCCACCCCTCTGAAAAGCTGGGTATGCGAGCTTGCTACTTTGGAAGGAAAACAACGCCAACGATGGCCCAAGCCAACGCATCCGCTTTTGGGTCCGGGACGTTACGCGCGGCTGGCTCTCAGCCTGTAGCACCTATCCGATCACCCGAAAGGAAGGTAAGCCATTTGGTTCGTCGTTGAAACGGTTCCTTCATGATATGCCTATGATTGTGTCAAACTCCGGGGACCGCAACAAACAGGGAGCAATCGGGAACGAGAAGTTCATTCCGCCGTCGAGAGGCCTTGAGAGTAGCCTCAAGGCCATTTTCCAGCGTGATGACGGCCTCGGTGACCACCTTGTCCACACCTAGCGACTCCCGACACGCGAAAGATATGATCCCAACCGGGGCCCTGCGCTTTTTGTTTTACCACATGCCCTGTCCACCTTGCCATGGAACTCATGAGCAGATCCCTTTACAAGGAAGGCGACTAAATCACTAAACCCAAACGAGGGAACTTTGCCACTACTCTGATTCACTAATCGCGATGAACTCACTCAAGGGATGGGGGAGCTTCCAGCAACTTGCAGGCTTGAAGAGGCCGAGCCTAAGACAAGCGCAAACAAACACGTGTTTCTTCCCCTCGCGGCACCACTGCCGGCTTTTGACACACTTAGACCAACTCCGACTCGAGGAATGTACCGCCCCTGCAAATTCACACGGACCTCTTACAAATCTATGGCATGACTCTTGGAGGAATCACGTCTTGGGGCCATTTGGGTAAATGAGAACCCTTTGGTGGACATCATTTTTTGCGCTATGAATCATGTCCGCCGGCCACTTTTGAGGTGTGCCATGTTCGGCTTTGCGTCCATTCGCGAGTAGGCAAATCCACAAAGCCCGCGGTTTTTCGGGATTCCAGGCCTTTTGCAGACTCTGCGGGCTTCCAACCTCAGTCCATCCGTCGCGAGGGTGGTCCCTTTCAAATTTTCCCAGTGCGGGGCTGGCACATCTGCGAGAAGATTCATACATCTAAGTAATGTTGACCCTATATTAATCAACCCCTGTTTCTTAATAGGGGGGTGTGGGGAATCATCACTTTCGGAGGGGACACCCCGTATCAATAAAATGAGTTGATGAACATGGGGCCAACATTAGTCATTTTAACTTGCTTCAAGTCTAAAAAGGACCTCCTCTGGCCCTTCTGCGTGTCTCTGGGCACCTTGCTGGAGGTCTTGGCACCCTTGTCCCCTTTTGAGAGCGCTTTCGCGAGAATGTTGTGAGTACCTTAGTCCGCATTCAACCTTCCCGAAGCCACAAACAATATACATATATATAAATATATATCTAGACATGCTCATTCATGGCGTTGATTCCGCGCACCAGCCATCACTTCTTAAACACTAGCTGTACCTCGGGTAAAACCGTGAAGCTTCAGGATGATATAGCCGGCAAGCAACATCAACAAGCCCCCATCTCAGTCATTCTGACGAGTTGCCCTTCTGCTTGCCCTTGGCTTTGCCCTTGTCAGGAGTTTGCCACGGGTCCTGCAGCCCCCATCTGACAGTCTGGACGGCCATGCGCAGAGCAGATTGCCCAAACAATGTGGCGCAGCCGCATCATTGCCCGACCCTCTTAAAATCTCGGACGGTGGGTGAAGCAACTGGCCTTTGAAGGATCTTGGAACGGATCCTCGGCCTCCCAGCCCCAACCTGCGCAAACGCGCTCGGGCCAATTGAGCAAGTCTGACCGCGCCAGAAAAAAACAACAACAACAACATAACATTCGGCGCGAGAAGGAGCCAAGGCCTCTCTTTTGCCAATCAGTGTGCATCTTGCCGTTCACCATCTCTTGGCCTGGGCACGCCAACCCCGGGTTCCCATGAAAAAGCGGGCTCGGAGCTGCAGCGTGGATCCTGTCTGGTACAGCATGCATGTCCAAATTACATGCTTGAGGGTCGTGCATGGTTCACTTCAATATCAAGACCCATTGTTTGAGCATCCTCATTTGGGTTCCGTACCTCCGGGAAAGCATTGTAAAACCTGACGAAACCAAGAGGCACAATGCTACTTGGTGAAACAATCTGGAGCGGGGAGATCCGAGGTATGGACATGGTCAACGATTTTTCGCGTGTCATTTCAGGCACTGAAGCTGTGCGCGGATGGAATGCCCTGCTGCGAATGGGCGGGAGTGAAGATACTGTCGGGAGAACTCCCCGGCGCCACCCACAGGCCCCACCACACGACGCAAAACCAGCATCACCATCAGAAGCCAGGCGGGCATCAGAAGCCAGGCGGGCATAAGTCGCCGACATGACGTGTCGAGATCCAGCCAGCTCTTCACGTCGTTGATGTCGCATTGAGCCAGACAATGCCCTCGCCATTCCGCCACTGCACGTTTTTGACGGTATCTAGGGGGTCGATGAAAGGCCTGAACCCGCTCAGCATGGCACTTGGTCTCGCCATCCATCCATTTTCGGCACGCGTCCGGCATGTAGAAGGAGTCCAGAGGAAACTTGGCCTTCTCGTTGCGCAAAGTCGGGCCGGGAAAGTCACCCAGAAAGTCCTCCGCGGACCAGCCTCTCCAACTTCTCAGCCTTTGAAGTAGTTCCACATGCAAGGCTCACCTTCCGTCCTCCACACCTCCCGCTCGCAGGTGCAGTTATGCTCTGGCTTAATGCGGGCGTAAGGTTGCTTAGGGTTGGCCAAAGGATTGCTTAGGGTTTGGGGTTGGTTTTTTGCCGCGCCAGACCTACCATTCAACCTTGTAGAAACGTGGCTCGCCTATCAAAAATAAGCACCGCGATCCGGACAGCGGCTGCTATCGTTTTCCGCCAGCCGCCCGGTCCTCATCCGTGTTGCCGTGCGCCGCTTTCCAAGCCACAAGGTAAGCGCTTGCCATTTGGCAGGCACGCAGTGCTTGGCAGGTGGGCGTGTGTGCCTGCACTGGAGCGGGCGTTCGTACCATTTGGCAGGCGCGTTTGCGGAGCTAAGCCGTTGCGCTATGTTGCGCTTGAGCGTTCCGCACTGCTGCCCAAAAGCAGCCTGAATCTTGATGACATCGGAAAACCATGACCCCTTTTCGGGGTTGGCACCAAAACAACTCGGGCCCCAAGTGCCCAAATAGCGGAAGGCGTCTACCAGAATGACGTCTACCAGAATGACGTCTAACTGCATGAAAAAGAAAAAGCAAATTCGACAACGAGCTAACGCCCTAAACGACTATCTTAACCAGCTAAGCTAGCTAACCCAACTAGCTAGCTGACTAACCAGCTACTGTCAAACTACTTGACACAAACAACTAGCTAATCAGCTGGCCAACCAGCCCGCACGCTAACCCAAGTTACCTCCCTAAAGGAAACTTGCTACCCAGCTAGAGCGCGAGCATACTATCTTTAATGGTTAAAGAGGTCAACACTACGATGGCACATCGCAACCCGACCCGTAAGATGGCGAGTTTTCCGACCCGAGGTTTGCTGGTCGCAATTTTAGTTTGGTCGGATTAGTTTTGGTAATATTGATTCGATCATTGGCAGCACTAAATCAAGTGCTGGCGGGTGTATGGAAAGTGCGTTCAATGGGAGCAGGCACAAGTTGCCAAATCCTCCCCAAAAACCAATGCAGTGCCATCTTAGTGTCACGTGAAGCCAATCTAGTCAGCCAATGTCGCCGACTGTTCTTGGCATATATACATATATATATATATACATTGGGGGACTCGAAGACACTTGAAAGAGAAGCAGTCTACGGTCTTTGCTTGTTTCTGCAAAGTTGAGTTGGATGGTCTCTAAGCAGTGGTGAGAAGAGAGAGTCACACATGTGGGAGGCTTGAGGTGTATGGAAAGAACGCTCAAGGGGAGTAGGTGCCGAACCCTCCCCAAAAACCAATGGTTTGCCACCTTAGTGGTCGCATTTTCAATTTAGTCAGACTGGCGAAACTCAACTCAGTACTGGAAATACTAAATCTATGCGCCCCAGCTAATGAAAGACAGGAGCTGACGCGAGGCGTCGTGCCCTCCTCCAATCAGAAGCAGGTGCGAGGCACCGATTCCTAGCTAAACTATATCAGGGATCCCTACATTATACACCTGAACATTGACTTGTAAATGGTGGCTTCCCTTTATTTTGGTGGAAAAAGCCATGTTTCAAATGGTTGCAAAATGTGTCTTTTAAGGAGCCCTGTATATACAACGAGTTTCCCCTGAAACAGCTGCGATCCATGTCAAGCACTCAGCCGTTTACAGGTGCCACGGAAATCAGACCCTACTGTGATCACAAAAAAGCTCTTGCGTGACACTAAGATGGCACATGCATTTTTTGTATGACATCTTAGTGGTCGTAAATCAGCCCTACCGAAAAAAGTGTTTTTTTGATCAGACGGTACCTGACTACGGTTTTGCGTGTGCCATCTTAATGTCAGTCCAAATACCTAGCGTAGCTAACCCTTGCACTAGACACCTACCTCTCCAGCTAACTAGCTGATAAGCTGGCTACTGGTTAAAGAACGAACTCTCTGACAAGCTAACTTCACTTCAGGCATGCGCTTGAAGAGAGAAAGACACAGAAAAAGGCGCGCAGCGCCTTGACAGGGAAACACCTCAACCCATAATTTAACTTGTGCTGGAATTCCCCCCCCACGCCCCCATTGTTGCTAGTAGTAGTGACTACTTACTTCCGGGATCTTCCGGGCTGCAATGGCTCTCCTCGCCATGGGTCTTAATTGGCGTATGATCTTGAGAAGCCACACGCGCCTTAAAAACGTTGCGGGGCCTTTGACGGTCCAAGGGCTTCCAACAGGATATGCCAATGCCCCCGCCACGTAAAATGAAGCATGACCCAGTGTTCCGAGTGGAACTCAGGCTGAGACCGCCACTCAAGCTGATCGGCCTGCAGCTGTCAAGTCACGCTCGCATTCGCATGTTGCGGCCTCCCATCTGATCCACATTGCAATGGGACCCGCGAAAAAAATGGCCCGTGTTCCAAAAACCTTCCTGCTACTTTCCGTGAAAGTCGCAACGACACGCGACATCTGCTCAAAGGCCAAACTGCGCATTCGCCATTGCCTGGCGACCTGCGCCAGGGTTATTTGCCTCCCAAGGCGAATCGCGAGATCTGCCAAACTCAGGAATCTTGACTTCGAAGCAAAACTGGGCGGGTCCTTCTTTTGTGGTTTGGCCAAGGGAAAACCAAAACGAAAACCAAACTCCATTCTGGGCCTGAACACATGCTGTTTGGGGCACAACGGTCCAAGGAAGAGACGACATGTTTCGAAGCAAGGCTTTTCCTTCAATTTTCAAGACAACATGCGAAGTGCCAAAAGCCGCTTGTCAAAAGCCGCGCCTCGTCTGCATATCACCGCACTTGACAAACTCGCTGAGCCTGGTCCACTCATGTTGGATGCTGGTTGGATTGAAAAAGAAGCCCACCAACACGTTAGTGGATTGCACCAAGGGAAAACGGGGGGTGTCTCGAACCTCCGAAATGGTTTGTTTCCCTTCCTCTGAACAGCCCACCGATTCGTCTCCCGCCGCAGCCTGTCATCGTCCAGCAAGCGCGATAGGGAGCAGTGCCCGAACACTGTCTCACTAAGCTCCTGCGAGCAAAAGCCGCTGACTGGTGGACTGCCCCAAAAAAGTGCCTTTTGCTGCCGGTTAGAACTTGCGCATGGGCAAATGGACCAAAAAACACCGCAGAACTCCCCGGCTCTGCTCGAAGTGTGGTTCAGCGACCCTGGAAAAAACGGAACCCTTTTTGGGGAAGCCCATTTTTAATAAGGGGCACCACCAAAAATAAAGCAAAAGGAATTGGTGCCACTGAACAACTAAGTAACAGCTCCAGTCGAGCCTGCGCAGCAGTTTTGGGGAGGGCCGTTTTGGGCCGCTGGGATTGGGCACGGCTGGTCGCTCTGACTGCGGCACAAGTGAGTAACGCTAACCCCGGATCTAAGTAGAACCCCTGGTTGATTTTCATCGGGGGGTCCCCCCTTTTAGTGGGGATTCGAATCACTTTTGGAGGGAACACCCCCCTAATGGGATTTATTTTTCCTGGGTCAACATTAACTCCCCGATGGCCGAAATAGGTGCAACCTTTAAAGGCCCAATGCCCGAGTTTGGTTCGTAAGAAGGAGCTGTGAAGGAGGAACCGCACACCAGTTAACGCAAGCCTAAAATCCTAAAACAAATGCATTTGTCTATCGTTGGGTACTTGAGTGAAAGCCAATATGAAAGGCTTTGGGCTTGGATATGCCGGGAATGGGCCTCAGGGGCTCAGAGCCAGTCCAAATGCAGCCAACAAATCTGGATGGCTCAACCCGTGCCAAAAGCTTTACCTGGTTGCTCAATGAATAAGGTCTGGAGAAAACTTTAATATGACTTATTTGGCACAATCCACCTCGCAATCTGGATGAAACCCCGCTGAATAATAAACCACAAACCTGGTGCTGGGTGCGAAGGAGTTTGGTCCATCCACCCTTCCCCATTTTGACACATACCCGTATATAGCTAAAGGAGTCACAATAAAAGGCACATTGCAAGAGAATCCCGCGGGGATGGAAACCCAATCATACCCCCCTCCCCCCCCCCAAAAAAAAAAACAACAGAAGAAGAACACACACAAAAATCTTACGGCCTTCCCCCCCCCCCCTCCCCCCCCAAAAAAAGAAGAAGAACAAAACACAAAACAACACACAGAGCTCCTTCCCCAGCTTGGATCTGCATTGAAGCTTCACCTGTGACACCTCGATCTGATTCTGCGGGCTGGACAGCACCAGCTGGCCTCAGGGCAGGGCTTTGCTTCCGGAGGGTTGAGCTGGTCTCGGGTCGTGCGGAGTGTGGTCTAAAAGGGAGCTGAGAAGAAACCGCGCCGGTTTCTTCACTTTTTGTTCTCTCTCTCTCTCTCTCTCTTTTTGGGGGGGGGGGCGGGTTCAGGATCCCAATTCTGATACATGCCCATACTTAGTGGCAGCTGAGTCAGGGCGCCACACTGCGGAACTTGACACTGTTTTAAAAAGCGTCAATGGGTGAGAAGTCTCATTCGGGACCCTTTCCCAGACATCAGGAAATTCATTTGGATTTATGCCCATCGACCATTTTGGAGAGCGGTTCCAATCAAAAATCATGAGGCATATGTTCGGCCGGAAGGCACCCTTTGCCTCGGGCTAAAATTCGAAGGGGCACCTGCGCACGGACTGCACTTGCCCGAGTTGCAGGGCACTCGGGGGGGCTTTCTAGGGGCCTTTTTCCGCCGGTTTGGAGCCTTTCACCGCTAGTCTTTTGCCAAGGCTCGCAGGCAGTCGCGCAACTCGTCCCAGGTCTTCACATATGCCTAACACCGCGCCCATCCATCCACCCAACTTGCCAATTTGTGGCGCAAACATTCAAGTGCCTTGAATGACTGGTCGTTGAATGCGAGGCCCAATGGAGAGCCCCTGAGATCTTTTTTGAGGATCCGTTTGTTGCCTCGTGCTTTGAGGGATTGATCCCTGCCGAAGACGACACCTCCCTGTCCTCGTCACTCTTCACGCCAGTGGGCTTGCCGGCTTCAGCGTTCAGCAGCCTCTCACACTCCTCCTGGGTACAGTAAATTCTCGGGCTGCGAGGGAAACCCCACCGCAACTTACCGTTTGGTTGGATGTCGGTTCACTTGGAACCCGAAATGTTGACTCCCGTGAAACAACCATAGCCACGCGCAAACCGGGAAATTGCAGTCTACTCCAGGGGTGCTGGGGTGCTTGCTCACTGGGCCTGGATAGTGCCTTGACAATCGCAGCCCCCTCCAAAAAATACAAATCATACAGAATCTGTTCAGATGGGACCCTGAAACTTGTGGTCCTCCTTTCGGCTTCCTTTCAAGCAATCTTAGAAAGGGTGGCCTCAACCCACCCCCACCCCCCTCACCCCGCCGCAAAACCGATGGCCCGAAAACGCCCCCCCGTCCGAGTCGGTGTAGGGCACCAGCGCCCCGTCACGGAGTCCCAGGAGCTTCTCTTGGTGCGTGCAGATCTCGGCCGTGGAAAACGGGGCTGTGTGGTGTGTGGTGTGTGCTTTTTGTTGAGGGCTGAGGGTGATTCACCCCCCCTTATTTGGTTGGTTTTGAAGGAACACCAAAAGGAAGACCACACATTTTGTGGGTCCCCTCAAACAAGACACCTCCACAGACCGTTCAGGAATCGGGGCCCCAAAATGAATGGGACTCTCTTTGGGTACGGGGTGGGTGAGTCAACCTGGTGGATTACTAGAGGGGGTATCTCATGGCATCTCCCCTCAAACATGCTCTGGATTCGCGCGGAGAGGGCTGTAGCTGTACCCTCCTGATCGTGCAAGCAACTGCAGCTTTTACTCCCCCAAATCCAGTCGGGGGCGATGAGGGATATACGTAGCCACCTATCGTTACGGATGTGTCTTTCTACCCTGTGCAAGTTCTCCCACTTGACTTATCTGGGGTCACCATGCGACCGAAGCCGGGTGAAACCACCGGAGCCAAATAGGTGGGGAAGGGCTCCTTGCATGCCCTCAGCCAATGGCGACTTCCAAATGGAGGGCAAAACATATGATTGCGTCAGCGAAAACATACCGACAGGGTAAAGACCACACGTCAAGGCCTGCAGAATGGGCTCAGAAAGGGCAGCTTTGGCCGGCCTTCGCTTTAAACCTTCAAATGTCCATACCGCATACCCCCTGCGAAGCAACATGAGAACCAAAACAGGCCCCGTGATGCCCTAGAATCCTCCAGAAACATATTTGGTTTTCGGAATTTCGGAATCTCCGGGAGCGCACCTGTTTCGTGGAAAGGATTTGCACATGGGTTTGTCTATTTCAGAAGCTTTGCCAACACATCCCAGGAAGTGCTCTCTTCATGCTCCAGCTCTGCCAAGATGGCGGAGCTGATAGCAATTTTGCCAAGTTGCATCTGTTCTAGAAAGTTTGCAGGGCACACCGACAAGTGCAAAGCTGCCAACTGAAGGTCATGGAAAACATGTCCAGCAACAATGAGTTTGTGCAAATGATTGGACTGATTTCCAGCTGCAGTTGGCGATTGCCAAAATGGGCCAAAGCTGCACTAGTTTCAAGCAGAGACATGCAGAGACGACGGTTGCAGAGACCCGTGAAGCATGAAGCATGTACGCACAGGAACCGGTTTCCCGGCACCTTCCTGCATCAAAAGAAGCGGCAAAGTTTCAGCTGGAAACCGCGTTGAGTGGGATCATTCCCCAGGTGTCATCCCGCGTACAGCCAACCATCAGTTCCCTACATGGCCATGGGTCAAAATCCCGTACCCCCAGTGAACATGCCAATCCCCACTAAAATAGACCAAAATGGGTGGTGCACCAATCCCAAAATGGCACCATTGGTTTTGACCCACAGCCAAATCACTGGCAGAAAGTACTGCTCCAGGCCAGCCGCTGAACTGCTGTGGCCTTCGGCTTTTCCAACTAAAGGACTTGGGGGCCCGGCTGTGATAAGCTGCAGCAAACGCCCGAAGCTGACTTCACCTGAGTCTTTTCAGACACCAGGGTTGTTCTGCCCAGCTTATTGCAATGGAAAAGCCACTCGTTTCCAAAAATCGGTCGGGCGACGGTCACACCATGTGCACTTCGTTTCTCTTCTCCGTGAAACGGTCTCGGAACGCATGCCATCCGGGTGGCGGCAGTGTGGCACTTGCCACACTTGATGAAGTGCGCAAGACATGAGCCCAACGAGGCCGTGACGAGTTTGATAGGGTGACTGACGCCGAGTGTGCATGGCTCGAGCTAGGCAACTGGTCGGTTGAATGTGAACATCCCAATTACATGAAGAAACAAGCATTCAACATGTCCCGCCAAGCTCGATGTCCAAGCTCTGCAAGGCTGTGCCCTGTAATCCTAACTGCATCCAAGTTTCTTATGGCGTCTGACCTCAACAACTGCAATGCACAACCAAGCAAGCAGCACGGAAGGTGACTGCTCACAAAATAAGGTGCTGTCAAACTTCATACACCCTGATGAGGCGTAGCACCTTAATCTTGCAAAGCCGACAAGATGTTTTTGCAGCTGCAAGGCTGCACATTTCAGTTGCTAGAACGTATGTGTTTTATTGCATGAAGCTTTCGCACTCGTCTACTGAACTCACCTCGCGCGGCAGGCCGTCTTGCCAAAGAAAACCTCTTGTGGAGTCAACATTGCTCAACAAGGCGCTTCGGAAACATCGCAGGAGGCCTCGGGCCCTCCCTCAAGTAGGTCTCTGGCTCCGGAAAACGTATCAAGCACGGGCAGCGACGGAAGACTCCAATCGAGGCAAGGCTCTGATCCTGCAGCCAGCATGCCACTGCCACGGCCCTGCGGCGTTGCGTTGATGGAACGTGCCCATCCAAGTGTACAAGGAAGTCCCGTCCTTGTTGGCTCAGGACGCAATCATCCAACATCTTTGATGGAGCTGAATACAAATCAACCCGCCCTACAGTCTTCCTTCCCCCTCCTAACGCCAATAGCTCTGGTGCGCTTAGCAGTGCGCTTAGCATTTCTTCTATCCGAACATTACCCCGAAACGCTTCGTGTCCCTTCCCATTTGGAGAGATGTCCGTGAGGCCTGAGGGCCGAATCCGTAGACTTCGGCCAGCCGCCAGTCGCAAGGTGGTTGCGAATCTCCTGCCGTGTCCGCAGGTTGCCACAAGCCATGCGGGGAGGACCCCTTCTGCTCAGGCAGACAACATCGATTCGATCCAAAATGCGATTGGCTGAGTTACCTTCGTTCCACGGGCTAGACCAACCTCACGCCAGAACCTGCTCCAGTAGACTTTTCATTTCTTACCAATTCACCTACGCGAGTTCAACAGATCCATTCGATCCAATTTAAAAAATGCGATAGGATGAGTTTGGACAAACGAACCAGCGGGGATACGGAGGGAGCGGGCATATGGAAACATTCCCTTGGCCTTCCCATTTCCCACATCAATCTTAGGTGCAAACGGGGGAGTCCTCTCGTATCCCTGTGAGTTCCCTTCATTCGGTGAGCTCGAAGCGACGTCCTCCCAAACCTCCAGGTCGACCACATCCTGCGCGGCCGGGGCTCAGTGGAGCCCCAGCGCGGATCGGACTCCCCGAGGCGGATCGGGGGAGCCCGGCGCCTTTTGGATGCTTCAAGGTACCGGAGGCTTTGGCGAGCTTTCGCGGGCGAGCCTGGGTCTTTGGACTTTGAAAAGGCTTCCTTCCGGCGAAACTTTTTGTTTGGGTGTGGCCAACCTCAGGCCCCATGACTCTGAGGGAAGGAATGGGCAACGTCAATCTAATGTGCCAACGTCTACCAGGTGATTTTCCGAAAGGCGGACTTGAGTCACAGGCTCTCTTTGATTCTCCCGAGAGCCAACGCCTCTGCTTCCAATGCCGCCATGGGTCAAACTCCAAATCGTACCCCCCAGTGAACATCAACCAATCCAACCATTAAAATAGGTTCTAAACTGGGTGGTGAATTCACCAATCCCAACCAAAATGCGATCCCACCCACCGCCATGGAGCGGTGCCTCCACTTGTCCGGCATCCTCATCTTGAACGAAGCCGCGGAAGCTGGGCGGAGGCTCTTCGAGAACTGCTCGAAAGTTGAGCCTACCAGCCAGGCGTTTGCGACTCGCTTGCTCGACTCGGCTGGCGCGGTGCTTTGGAGGCCTTCCGAAGGGTTGAAACCCGGAACCAAGGGTTCGAATCTCCAAAACACCTGGGGGTCACCTGATCTGCCGCAAAAGTGGCTCCGAATATGGGGGACGCAGTTGCACTGGCGGTGAAACAGGGGGTCTGGAAAAACAACGAAACTCAGTGGTGAGGCTGCTTCAATGCCAAGTTTCACCAGGCCAGGCAGCGTCAGGAAACATGCTTGCCAGAGCTTTATAAGGAGCTTTGTAGGGAGGAGCTTTGTAAGGAGGATTGTAAGGAACTTTATAATATAAAGAACTTAATTGACAAATTTTATAAAGTGTTTTCAGGAGCTTTTAATAGGTGCTTTCGAAATCGTTTTCCAGCCGGTGAAAATCACTTCTACGGATTCTATCCCGAAATCGTTTTCCAGATGGTGAAAATAATGTCTGCGGATTCTATCCCGGAACTTGTTTTCCCAGCAGGTGAAAATAACTTCTACGGATTCTACGAGCCAATTGTCCTTAACGGTTGGTTGCCCACTAACTTCCCTTTGGAGATGGCCCGCTGCTGTCGACGGCTCATCTCAAACCCGGACGATTGAAATCGGGCAAGATCAGTATTTTTGGCTGCTTGGCACTGAGTCGAACCCATTTTTGGTGGTGAATTCATGTTTGGATGCCCTTCTTGTGGCGTTTCTATCTGAACGGCAAAGCAGCGACTCGGGCCCGGCACAGGCGCGAGCGCCTCCTGCACCCTGGCGGGTCTATGTAAAGCCCAGGCGTCGCCTCAATGATCCCCACCTTGCGGCAGCTGCGGAGACTTCACAAACCTGATTTCTATCACACATAATATATATATATATATATATATTGTACCCCTCCCCCCCATAGCTATATATATATATATACAGACATGTGCATATTGATAGGTAAATATATATATATATATATATATTTGTGTGTGTTCTTATGTATTTATGTATTTGTATGTATGAGCAGACTGACTACCACAACCTACGCACCAAGCACGAGCCAAGCCACAAGTTGCTGCTGCGTCAACTTGGCGCCTGTCAGCAATTGCCAATACCTTGGCCGGCTGAAGAAGTCACCAACGCCAACTGCGCTTTGGATTGCGGCTCATTTCGGCCATCCATCGCCTTGTGCCATGGCATTGCGAGGGAAAGGTTTGCTGCAGTGCCCCCCTTGGCATTCGGCCTGGTTCAGCCACCAACGAAACAGGGACTGCTGAAGTCACTCACTCACTCAAACGGTTCCCCGAAGGCCAAGGAAACCATCCCGGCCGAGCGTCCATTGCAAGACTGCCCCGCGTGGGATTGCCTCATCCAAGTACAGCGAGCTAACGATCCACCGCATCAGGGCCTCGCGCTCACTCAAAACCAATGGCATTCAAAGGATTCTCCGAAAATACGTGACCCTCCTCCCCCGATATAATTCTTGATGGCCACGGGAAACGGCGCAGCCTGCACAGCCCTCTAAGGCTCGATGGCCGTACATTCCATGTATTTCGGATATCCACCCAACTGTGTTGCCATGATGTGAGTTCTCATGCTCGGTGTCCGCTTAAATGGAGTGAAGAGAAACAATGCAAAACCAGTCATTTTTTGCGGGTTCCGCAGTTGGAGCCCTCAAACCTCAGCACCAAGCTCAAAACCCAAAACCCCTGAGCTTGGCTCTTTCAAACTGTGGTTCCCGTGGCTTAGCGCGTTCCACAGAATGCCCTGCCTCTGGTGAGAGCTCATCCTTTTGCTCAGGCATGGCTCTACCTGTGCGATCACCTCCCTGTCGCTATGACGGGTTGGATGCTAAACCCAGCATTCATTCCTGTCACCTAGCACTAGCAAAAATGGCCAGAATCCGTTTCACAAATCCTGTGGGCTGCTTGATGTGCTTGCCTGCATTCGTTTTTTCGGCCTTGGGTGCTTTTGGCCTGCTGCGGCGAAGCCGCCACAGCTGCGTTTGCGGAATTCGCTCCCCTCCCATTCCCCATGCCAAAGCCAGCCACAGCCATCAAACAACTGCTGGCCGGGAGTCCCCCATGTCCCTCTCGCATAGACCTTAAGTTTGCATGGACATGCTCACCGAACCTATCTTGGCTGAAAGGCAAACTCCCGAGTCTACCATGGATGTCCTTGGTACCATTTTCCAAAACTCGCATCCTGCGGAGAACTGTCAGAGACACAGTGTGCAAGCGCTATGATGGGAACCTCGGATAAGGTCCCTACGTGTCCCTTCTTGAGAAAGGCTTCTGTTTTGAACGATGTACGCGTTCTTCGCCGCACCGCTTTCATTCATTCTAAGCGGCCCGAGTTGAATCCAAGCCACAAAAAAGTGACACCTTTGGCTAAACTCTGGCATGCCGCAGGGCGCAAGAATCGATGACCTCTATTATTTTGAGCCCCAGCGATGAAATAATTCAACTGGCAGCCCCATCCTTACATATATTATATACAATATTTACATATATATACATATGCACAATATGTACAAATATATACACACATACTGTTGGGCCTATCCCTTAGCGTTCACCTACTCCAGGGTTGTGATCGTTCAAACGGCCCGTGGGCGTTCGACGAGCCACTTTTCCGCAGGCCGCGCTACGGCGGTCTCTGCCAGGAAGGGCGCGCCGCCCATCAGTCCTCGGGGAAGGGCTCAGGGATGGGTTCCCAGATTTTCTGTCTACCGGCCATGGGTCAAACGCCCGTACAGTGAACATCCCACTCCAACCACTAAAATAGGAAGCCGAAAATGGGTGGTGAATTCACCTACCCCAACATGGTACCATTGGTTTTGACCCACAGCCGACCGCATGGTAGACTTAAACCCAGGGATGCTTTACCCGCAAAAGGGGAAGCCCTGGGTTTAAGTGTATCTTGGGGTAGTCAAAAAGTGGAACCCTGAGGGTTCCTCCTGGGTTCAACCTGGCCGTGGGTCAAAAACCCAGAAAAACCCCTGGTGAACATCAACATAGGTGGCAAATTCATGCTCATCCACCCGAAAATGGAGCCATAGGGTATGCCCCATGGCCACCTCTCACAATGGATTGCTTGCAGGATACCCCAGGCCGACAAATATTGTCCTGACATTCGTGCAAACGCACTGCAAAACACGTCGCAGGGGTCCTGCATTCGTCTCCTCCCACAATGCCAGCCTGCACCAAGAGGCAAGGTCAAAGCATTGGACAACGCATGACAATGCAGCACGGGCTTGTCGAACAACACATGCTGCTACCCTCTCTGACCCACCGTGGAGCCTGAGGCCCCTGCAAAACAACTGTCCTCTTTAAATCCCCTTGTGGCGGGTTCCAGCAAGCAAAAGGTGCACGTGAACCAAGCCCTGCCTGTTCTGGCGCACCAGCTCTGCCTCCTCTAAGCCTTTGAGGCATGGTCCCTTGACCGCAGCCCGTGGCGCGGCAGGCACCTGCAATCCCAAATTTGGCGGCGGTGAAAGCTGGGCTGGCGGGCAGGCATGCGCCAGTTCGCATCTTTTGCTCAATTGCGAGCTGAATGCGCATGCGGCCCTGCAAAGGCGAAACTTGTGGGTGCTTTCTGTGGAATCCGTGTGGTTAATATCATAGGGCATGTTCTTTTATAGGGCATTTTGAGTGGGAACTCAGGAGTGAGAAGCCCTAGGCTGACCGAGAACTGCAAGCCAACTCACAAGCTCAACGCCACTGAATGCCCTGGGCGTCTGGCGCGCCATCGCTGCCAGAGAGGCGCGTGAGGAGCGTGAGCCTGGTATGAGGGCTCCGGCAAGCTATGGGAGCCAGGCTGCGAACTGTCCAGTGTTTACTCTGAATTCAAAAGCGCCCCTGATTGAATTTAGGGGGAGTCCCGCTGGAAGAAGGAATTGGCTCGGGAGGTGATGCTTGGAACAAGCTAAAGGGGCACATTTTGCGAAGTCGGGTTGGAAAACGAAAACGGGTCTTGCCAGCCGTGTGACGGCTGTACAGACCAAAAGAAATCAAACCTCAGTTCAAACCGCGCCTTCGGCAACGTGATATCCTCCCCGCTCTTCTCTGGCCTTGGTGCGCGTCATGTACGGAGACTTGGGTGACACCTGCAAAACTGGGGTCCCCTTCGTCTCAGCTCAAGCGACCTCAAACAGGGTCTCCTCCTTCATGCATCTACCCCATGGCATGTTGCTCACGATGTGGTGCACGCTTCGAATTGGCTGGGTGCTAAATAGGTGGGGGTCGTAGATAACACACAAAATATGTTCTCATCTTTTTGGTGTTCGCGCCCTGGGCTCGAGCAGCTGCAAGTGTTGAGGGGCGACAAGGTTTCTGCCAGTCACCATTTTTTTTTGAAGCAGAACCCCTCCATACCTTGCTGAGCGGTGCGAATGTTCGGGCGCGAGAAGCTGGCCGTTGGATAAAAATACTTGATTCACTTTGGAGACTGCTCTTGCCGTTGCCAAGCAGAAACAGTGATGCAACTCGCCTTGGACATAGCGGAGTTCGCAATGGAAAGGCTTATTCTGCAATCCCCGTGTCACAGAACCGCCTCTGGCAACGCTTAGAGCGCTGCGCGCGAAGGCTGCCAAACGGGCTGACCTTCGTGGAATCGAGTCGGGAATTGAGGGAAGGAATCGCCTGCCTTCCACTCTCGTTTTCCTTTAAAGCACACGACTAAGGATTGTCATAGGATAGCAAAAGCTTCTTTGTTTGGTGCTCGGAAACATTCTTGCGCAGCGTGGCACAACACCACAATTATGCAAAGCTAGCCCAGGAAAGCAGAGTCATAGCAGTGAGGCTGGAGGTTCCTTCCAAGCCACTCACGGGCTGGCCCCAACTTACCAATGTGGCAGGACGACAGCACACGACCCAAGCCCCAGTCAAAGCCAGGAGGTCCAGTCGTCAAAAACTGGCCAATGCGCACTTGCGCTTGTGCTCCTTGGCCTTCAAGCTGGGAAGAGCATGCGGGCCTTTGCCGTTTTCCAGTGAACAAGAAAGAAAGGGGCCATTTCTGGGCTTGAAACTTGTTCTTCTCATTGGGATGCCCTCCAAATACTTTTGGGGGGCAAGGCGTGAGGCAAAGGCCCGCGAGCATGGTCCCTTGCAAAAAGCCGGGAGCGGGGCGGGGTCTCTCAAAATCGTCCCCATCCTTCAGCTTCGCATTGGTGGTTTGGAGGTTCGGAGGCGAAAGTTTGGGCTTGTTTCCCATTTGCCCTCACAAGAGCCAGGGCCTGGGTTCAAATCCCCTCCCCCCCCCAAAAAAAAAATACACAAAAAAACGGGATGAACACCTGAGCTCTCTGCGGTCGCGGCTTCCCGGTCGCTCTCGTCTGGCGACAGCTCACGCCTGAGAACTTGTGGCATTTTGTGCCCCATTGTGCCCCTACCCACCAGATTATGTTCCCCTTGTTTGTTCCATCTTGCTTCATGTTCCAGGTCATGTTGAAGCAACCAATGTCGGATTTGTGTTTTTTGTTGGGGGGGGACGGATGGATTGTTTGGGCGGTTTGTAGGCAGCAAGCAAAGTTGAAGGGATGACACAAAGAGAGAGAGAGAGAGAGAGAGAGAGAGAGAGAAGTAAAGACAGAGACAAAGAGAAGAGAGGAAAGGAGAGAAGAGAGCGGAAATAACCGGGAAGAAAGAACAGAACAGAATACGAGAGAAGCGAGAAGACAGAAGAAACGAGAAGGAACGCAAAAGGAGAGACATGATGTATGTCTTTCTATCTATCTATATATATATATATATGTCTGTCCCATTGTCTCATTTGTGTATTGCTTGAAAAAGGCAATCCATGTCGTCATATTCGGCCAGCGACAGGCCACGGCCTCTTGCTTTGGCGTGGAGACCGCCTGGAGCCTGGGTCAAAATGAAACCACCAGGATATGGACCGCAAGTCTGAGTCCATGTTTCCACTCACCAGGACAGGTACCCACTTTTTAGCCCACGGCCATGTGGAAAACAGTGAGCCGTCGCCAAACCTTATTCTATGGCTGCCCCCTTTCCTTCTACAGCTTGTTGACTCCGGCGGCTGTGCCGTACTCACGAAGCATAGAGAGGACAATGCACGCCTACCTTTTCATCCTGGCTCAATTCATCAAAACTGCATGAACCAACATGGGTGTGGGTCAAAATTAAACCAGGTCAAAAGTACACCAACAGGGGACCGCAGATTTTGGTGCATGTTTCTACTTTCCAGGGTTCCATGTTGGGATTTCCCTATTTTTGACCCACAACCACATCACAAAAACCACGTCAGCGTGATGCTTGTGGTGCCAAACTCACTGGCACTGGCCAAATCTTCGCTGGCACTTGCCGCACGAACGCCTTTCCGGACTAATCGGTGCGAAGGGGACGGGCGTCCTTTTTTGGAGGTTGCTGGGAAAACCACAGGGAAACCACAGGGTGCCGTCTTTTGCAGGGACCCATCTGCGAGACAAGTTCTGAGCAGTTCTGAGCAGTTCTGAGCCAGGTGGCGCGGGCTGTGCTCAGGCAATACCGTCCTGTACGCCCAAGAGATACGTCTGCAGACTTTCGGATGTTAGGTGGGCTGGTTGGAGGGTGTCCCATTTTTAGAATCTGAGAAAGAATCCTTCACTAGTTCAAGGTAGGAAATGGATCATGGCATTACTCGCATTTCACACACAACGATCCGCCTGGCGTTGCTTGGAACGCCTTGTTCTCTTGGTGTAGAAGCAGCGGCCTGCCAAGTTGCCAACGCCACTGAGTGATCTGAGCGCAGCTGCGCTTGAGTGACGGTACATGATGCTACTTGTTTTGCTGTTTCTTTCGGGGAGGGTCAAAGGGAAACCAAGCATTGACAAAGTTCTTGCATTAGCAGGCAAGCCTACATTGTATGTTACATACTTCCAAATACTCCCAATGCACGGTGATGTCAACCAGCACCAAATAATGTAACGCTGCAGTTCCCTTGCGTCGTTCATTTGCTCATTTGCCACCCCCCCCCCCCCTCAACCCGCCTTCAGTCTCGACGGCATCCCCGGCACATCCTAGGCTTTCAGCTCGGGCTATCTCGAGTTAGTTGCGCAAGCAACATACGTTTCTTCAGTGCTGTGCACCGCTTCGCCACGCTTGCAACCATCGCCATGCTTAAGCGCCCCCCCCCCCCCCCGCCGAGAGGAACGGACGCCCAGAACCCGATCTGCAAGGCTGAAGCTGCCAACAAAAAGGTAGATCAAACTGCAATGCTGGTTAAATGCTTAAACAGTTGCTCTCAAAACAACAGTTTGCGCAGCTCTGGGTCCATTAAGTGACACGCTCAACATTTGCCTCTAAACTGGGCTGTTCAAAACCTAGGGTTGGCCAATCCTAATCCAGGACGAGCTACTAAAAAGGGGACCAAATCCTTGCCTAGCCCAAGGTAAAAATCTTGCGGATTACTGGCAAAGGGTTCCAAAAGGCCTCAACACGCAACCACGCAAAACCGCAAGGGTGAGGCCGGTTGCTTGCTTGCCATTGCAAACAGCAGGCGGTGGGAGGGTGCCTGGAAGTTTCCTCCCGTGTTGGTATGTGGCGATTCCCGCGCAAAAGTTTAACGGTTCACTGCTTAGTGAGGGAAGCCCGCGTTTTCCCAAAGAGTCAAAGGCAACAAATCCAAGCAACGGCCCAGGTCAGCGGCTTACTTAAATGCCCTTTCGGCAGAAACTGTCCCATGCAGCTGAGGCTCCCCAAAGGCTGGTGGAGCATGGTAAACGCCGACTGGTCCACCAGGCCTGACGATGGCAAGATAGCTGGGTGCCAAATCGGGTCTGGAAAGTCACAACGCCAATGCCCTGGTGGAACCTAAACATTGTTGGCTATTTAGCCCCAAGCAAGGCTCCTTAAAGGACACATGCAAAAAACAAAAACTGCTTTAGAAGGGAAATCAGCTAGAAACGTGATGTGGCCCTACTGTATCATTTGAGAGGCGCGTAAGGTGAAGTCATGTGGAAAAGGGATGGAACGGATTGCGGCAACCGCCTTCTCGCTTCCATGAGTGTCAGTTGATGTTCTGAAAGTGAGTCGGCAGCTGAGCTTCGTACATGTATTTGTTTCAATTTTTGTTGCCCTGCAACCCTGCTTGAGTCAGGTCAGCCGGGTTTCCGGTATTATCTTTAAAACATCAACCCCTACCAGAAACACAGCTTAAATGCGCACAAATGTTGAATCCGAAAAAGGAAACCCAAATGTCTTGCAGCAATGCACCGTGTGAGCCTCACCATAGGCTCCTCATGGATGTACACGCCCAGCTTCCTGAATTCATCTGCAGCTCTGGCACAGAAGGCCTGGCGAAGGTCTTGTGCCAAGGGCGACGGACGGCCCAGCAATTCGAACATTGCACAGCCACATGCTTGCCATCTCAAGGGTGGCAACAAATATGAGCCAAGAGATCTTGAGATCTTACTCAATCAAGTGCCAGGTATGGGCAAAACCAGCCACCGCTCTGTTCGACCAATACTGCTGTGGTGTGGCCTAACTCCAGCCGCGACCCCCATCGCAACTCACTGGCCTTGTACCTCCAGGTGCGGTCAACGCCATCTTCGCGCGGCGTAAGGCTCCGCACCTGACGATATGCGCGGTGCGTGGATTGGAAGCGGCACCTAGCTTCCGCATTGACGTTGCGCAAAAGCAAAGCCTGATTGGCTCCCCGTCCTGGAATTCAACAATTCTTGGCTAGTTCTTGTCAGGGTGTGGCTTGGGCAGGTCTTGGATTCGTGAGCGTCCCCGACAAACGCTAAGGTGACATTGGTAAATTCAGAATCTGGCAAACCTTCAATACTTTAAAACTATGTGACAAAGCACCGGCCACATCCGACATCACGGCACTACCTTGTCCTGCCAAACTTCAAAGGCAATTGCTTGGGGGCTGTCAAGGTCTGAGACGCACACAGTCACCTTCCGCATGCCGTCCTGCCCGCATATAGCACCTGGCTTGGCGCAAGACCCCCAACCACCAGAAATCTTCCGGATTCAAGTATGGCTTTGTTTGACGACACTTGTGCTTAGAATGGTTTGGGCACCCGAAGCCCAAAAACAACTCATTGGAAACATGTTGCTTTTGCTGGCGACAAACCCTGAAGATGAAAGCTCTGGAGACTGCGTATGCCCAAAACACAGCAACTGGCCGGCCGGAGGGTGTTCGGGGTCATCTCAGCTCCCCTGACCAAGTCAAAACTGGCCAGGGGTTGAGGTAAGAGGTGAGCAGCACCAAACGCAAGGTGCGGACACCCTTGGATCTTTACAGTTCGGGCAGGCTCCACAGGGTTGGTTCTTGCCAGGGGCCTGAAAATGGAAAACCTCAAGCCCCTTCGACTTTGCCTTGAAGACTCCCCACTGAATGTCCACCAAAGAGTCTCCAAGGATTCATACCCCAATGGGCTACTGAAGGCTTCTCCATCTGATAGAATCTTCCTTTGTCTGAAAAACCAGCGCTGCCAAACGCTGGGGCCCATACCCCCGAAGAAATAAGCCTGCTATTGTCACGGCTCACTATGTCCCTGGACTTGTCTCAGAGCAGCACAAATTTAGTTAAACAAGTATCAGGTGCTGGATGTTGAGGCAATTTAGGAGGGGTCCTCAAGAAATCCTTGCTTGTTGTACATGGTGGGGCGCACGCAGCAACACTTTTCGCTATGGGAGCTATCCGTGATGAAGAAGGGCCACTATGTGAAACATGTAATTGCAGGTCAAGCCGCTGGCCCGCAAAAGGGGGATTGTAAAGATGTCTCAGCCCCAAAGACTGCTCACCACAAAGACTTCTCAGCCCCCCCCCCCGGAACCAAAAGATGTCTCAGCTCCCTCTCCCCTCTCCCCCTCTCGGAGCTCTGATTAAGACCTGAGCTCAACATACACAAGACTAGTTTATACACCAAATGGATAAATTATACTCATTGCTGTTGTTGTTCAAGATGGGAATGTACAGCCAACGCCGTGCAACAACAAACTGCTCACGGACAATACACTTCTTAAATGCATCATATATATATATATATATATCTCTCTCTCTTCCGTGTCTAGAAGACCCCTCTTTAAAAAAAAGAAAGTTGTCCCGGTGGTTTACTCTCACGCACAACGCACCCTCCAAAAAGGAGGAGACCACATGCGCAGGGCACCTCGCCTTGGAGCTCATGGTGTTCAGATATGTTCAGATAACCCGCAGCTTGAGCAATTGCAGCGGCGTCACAGGTCCCACAAACGGCCTTCCTTTTTTACCGTTCCTCACCCGTTAGCAAGGGCCTTCCCTTATGCATTGAATGCCGAAACGGGCAGAAACATGTCGCACATCCGCACAACCAGTCCCGTTCGAAGAATCAGCACTTCGGTCAATGAAGCCTGCGCTTTTTCAGGCAAGCGCTTGCTCTCGGTCTAGTGCGACACGGCCGTTCAGCCGGACGTGTCCGTTGGCTAAATGCGGATATGGCCGTGCTGACCAGCGGCTCTCTGGAGCTGAGTGTTAAAGGGTGTCTATCCACTTCTTTTGCTTCGTTTTGGCAAGAAAGCATCATCAGCTATTTGGCACCAAGGAATCCCTCTATCCGGGCTGTCTATTTCTCTTGCTCCAGACCAGTGCAAGGCAGAAGCTCAAGCCAAGTAAGGCGGACAAGGACGAATCATTACATGCCACTGGAAACACGCCCCAACCGCATGGGGGGGGGGCGCACTAATCTATACATGGTGTCTGGGTATTTCAGTGGGTACATGAGGTGCTACATATGTATGTCAATGCAAATTCTTGGGGCACGCATGCCAGGGACACGTACCAATTCCCCTTAAGCCAGGGAGTGTCCACACGTTGCGCTTTGCAGCTGTGGTTGAAAGCTGCAAACCGTCCAACCGGGCCCATTGCATGTGGTCTTGGAGCATCCTGCTTTGCTTCATGTACAGTGCCGCCGCGAGCAAACTGCGCAGCCTGCGCTTTTCGCCTGCGGAAGGCTGAGCCAAGAGCTTGGACTTAAGGTCTGGCCAATCGCTTAGCCCAGAGGAGTTGGGTGCTTTTTGGAAGGGCTAAGCGAGTTGAACGGCGAGCCCGGAAAAGTCTAAGCAGGCCATTCCATATCACGAAATCAGACACCTTCCCACACCTTCCAAGCATCGATTCGTAGATGGCCCAAATCGCATGTGGGTAAGGGCTGGGCCAAAACTTAGACCGGACTGCCAACAACTGGACAATTGAAAAGAACCAAGAAGGCACAAAAGTCACACAAGTAACCTATATAAGTCTGTCAGTCAATGCAGGGGATTTCTCAACCAAAACCGGGGGGATGGTGCCATCTTCTACCCAACCGGGACGTCGCGGCTGAGACATGTCCAGCCTACCGCCGCCTCCGTGATTTGGAGCGCGACCTGGCGAGAGGGCCAAAGAAGACTTTACAAGTCTGTTTTACCTGTCCAAACTTTACATGGCCATGGGCTTTTCAAAATCCGAATCGGTTAGCCCCCAGTGAACATGAACCAATCCAACCACTATAGGTTCTAAAATGGGTGGTGAATTCACCTACCAACCAAAATGGGATCCCATTGGTTTTGACAACCACAGCCACATCTGTCCCATTAGCCACGCACATGGAACCTACCAAGCGTGTGCTGGAAGACTCTTGGCCTTTCAAAAGGGACCCCGGGGGCGGGTTCCATGCGAAAAGGACAGGAGGGCAAAGCTTTGTGAGACACTTTGAGGCGGAGCCTTCCTTTGGAACGGGCCAGCCTTTTGGGATGTCGGCAGTGCAACCCCTTGCAGTCTGTGTCCATGAATAGCTCCACCAAGCCATTGAGGGTGCGATTAAAATTCAGAGCCTTCCCAACCTTTAAGCCGGCCTGCTCTTATCATGACTTGTTCTGGGCTGCCCCAGACTCAAGAGTTGGTGCGCGGCTCAACCTGGCCACATCTGAAATGGGTATTTCCAAACAAGGAGATACGACCATTGGTTGGCTTTCTGTGGGCCGTTCAAAACCACGAGTACCTCAAACATTGAGGATACAGAAGCGCACAAACCCTTTCTGGAAGACGACCTTGGAAAGGTGTGCCCCAAGCCGTGTTTGCTGGTCAAAGAACAGAACCATGGCCAACTTCGAGCAGCACAACCAATTGAGCCCTGCAAGACTACACACCTTGCATGTTAAGGAAGAGTCAACCTAGACCTGCAAGGGAGAGAGAGAGAGGGAGAGAGAGAGAGAGAGGGAGAGAGAGGCCCCATGGTTCCACTTGTGGATTGCGGCAGACCTAAATCCAAAGGCTCCCATCTGCGCTGGGGTTGTACCATAGTCATTCAATTCCCTCCGAATAAGTCATTCTCCGGCTGCGCAAAACGCGTCCGGCCTTGACTTGCTGCAGTACCGCAGCTCTCGCTCGGTTCGCGAGTCGCGTCGCTTCTCGCTGCTTTTTTCGCGGATGAGCTCCTCGAGACTGCCCATTGCCCTCGGTCGGATCGGAACTGGTGGAAACATGGGCGTGTGATGATTTGCTGGTACCCCTGAGCTATAGGGAAACAACCAAGGGACACCACCTAACTTCGAGGATCTCGCCATCTCAAACCCATCTTGCAACAATTGTGCAATGTGTAAAGCATCTTATCTTGGATTCTCCGCTGTTTGTAGTTTAAGCCAAAAAGGGGGTACCCTCCCACCAAATAACCTGACAGGGGCGTCCAGGACCATTCTCATTTTGAAGGGACCTGTCAGGTGCCTGGTAGAAGGGTTCCCTAAACACACACACGCACCGCAGCCATAGCCCATATGCCTAAACTGGGGCAAGGGCCTTACCGGCTCGTTCTTGCCAAAATGACTCAGCGCCGGGCCGGAGGTGATTGAGCATTGGCCTAAAGGCCCACCGCGCTTTCCAGTGCAAGCTTTGCAGGTCATCGCACCGCTCTGGGTCATGGAAGCAGGGGATACATGGATTTGGAATTTGGCAAGAACCTGCAAGCTAAGTTGGGGACTGGTTAGTTCGGTAGTTAGCTTCAATTCTATCGGAAGCGAACGGCATGTTGCTCTTTTCTCGCCACTTGCCTTGGAGGTAAGCTTTTTGCAGGCGCCTGCTTTCTGACACCCTGAGTCTCCAGCAGGATGCCTTGAGAAGGGTTGGCTACACCCTTCAGAAGCTTGTCAAGCTGTGCCATATCCTGGCAGCCCCAGAACTGGTCAGGCACGGCTTTTTGCATGTTCAAGTCTGATTTCCCTGTGGCTTGGAACTGGTCAAGCATTAGAGTGCCGGTCAAGTCATCCAAAGCCACAGCAATGGCTTCATGCCTATCTCCGACCTCCGTCTTCTCTTCCCTCGGATGGACAACCTCCACAAACTTCGCCAGTGCCCTGCGCAGGGGTGCAACCCTAGCTGCTTCAGATTTGGCCTTCCCTCCAGCACGAAGCTTTCCAGCCCAACAGGAGTTCACTCCTAAGGCGTCCCAGGAGTTGCGCTTCCTCCCCCCCCCGCCCCCCGCCAGGCCTGTCATCCAGGCGCCATCGGTTTCTGAACTGCAGCATGGCCTCGCACCCCAAACGCCCCGACCTGCACAACCTGAAGCCTCAAGGGGTCGCACATCTTCGATCGCACCTTCCGGCGCACGCGCGAAGGTAGAGACATACCGAATCATGCGTGGGGTCGACTCCCGTATGAGAAAAAGATGTGGCGCTCAGCCCAAAATTCGCGCAAACTGCAAGATATCAGACATAACTCCGGTGCTTCATGTTGCACAAGTGCGGCAACAAGTGTATTGAGCTGGCTTTATGTTCAGGCTCTTCAGCAGAAAAGTCGCACCCCTCTAGCGACAAATCAACTGACCACAAATTCAACAAGGCGGGATTAACACGATTGGCCCTCAAAATGTAGAGGGCGTAAAACACGCAAAAAAAAAAAAAACGTACAAATCAAAGAGCTGGAGGCAAAAGGGCATCTGAGCCTCACTCCCTTCGCCTGCGATGCTGCCAAGGGGCCGGCACTTTCTGCATCCGGAAAACCGCACGATTCTCCCAAGGCTGCTGTTTAAGACTGACAGACTTCGTCATGCGCATTTGCCGACTTTCCACGGGTCAACGCGTCCCGCGCGGTGTGCCAATGCGCGGCTGAGCTTGCCGCCTGATCGAGCTTGCCAGCTCCAGTGAAACAGCCTCTCCTTAAACGCGCGTCGCACGGATCACTGCGAGGCAAGCTCCGCGAGACAAGCTGTTTAACAACCAGGCAGCCATGCAGACAAAGATTCAGCAACCAAGTACTTCGGTCTGAGATAAGGCATCATGAGCATGGAACCGACTGCGGGGGGGGGGGGAGATCCTGGCTTGGCCAATTTCCAACAAAGGGACCGTGTGTCTGGAGGGTTCCATGGCATCGACACTCAACTGGCAGTGGGTCTGATCCCCCAAAAGGGCACGCAGAAAGAGAACGGGTCCCTTTCGGGTTTGAAACCCTGGAACCAAGGCACCGGTTTTCTTTGAACCACACCGGATCCCTGGGGATGCTTAGTAAAGATCAGCGCCCTTCAAACTGGACCAACTTGAAGGGCCAAGCTGAGTGTCAAGCGAAAAGGATGGACAGGTCCCCAGTTTCCCTCTCAACCGGGGGTGTAAGGGTACCCCCAGGAAGCACCCTGTCACAAAGCCTCTCACTTCCTGAGTGAACCGAGCAAAAGTCTCAACTGGTTGATTCAAACGGTCCAACCCCCGGTATTTCGACCAGCTGCTCCAGCTCCCCGATTTTCACCATCAGAAAGCCCGAGGGCTTCTTCGCATTCTCGCAGACCTGGCGTCGGGAAAGCCGAATGCGCCTCTGGGAAAGGAAAATATGGAGCCCGGGAAAGCAAAAGCGAGCTGCTCTCTGGATGATGTCCAAGTAGGAATCGGACCCCGAAAATAATGGCTTTCCTTTTTGGTTTCCCTCAACACCACCCGCTCAATTTTGAGGATCTCCCAAAAGGCGGACCTTGATTTTTTGAGGCGCCATTCAGTTCCATGTTTTTGGCGGGAGATCTCAACCCACCTGGTTGCGTATTTGTGGACGAAAGGGTAGTCCTGAATGCTTAAAGCGGAAAATCACCATGAGCAGCCCAAACCCGGCACCACATTGTCTGACAGGATGAGGTGTCTTTCGCTTGCTTCTCTGCAAGGCCCCTGCCTCCCACAAGGCTTTCATGTCAGTGTCAAAGGTCGCCTCTCGCGTCAGCATCACGTCCTCAGTTCATCAAGCCCCAGGGCAACTCATGGAGCACCATGAAGGTATTTGCTGAGTGTACCCTTTTTGGGGTTGGGTTGAACGGACACCAAAGGGAACTCCGCCATTTTGGGGGATCCCCTATTCCAAGACAGACCCCATGAACCGGTTGAACGGACAACTCCGCCATTTTGGGGGATGCCCTCTTCTTCACGCCAGACCCCGCTCGGGTCCCTGGCATTCAGCCGGCGCATGATGCGGTCCTCGATGTCAAAGGTCTTGCAAAGCGCCTCCACCTATGGCACTGGCCCGCACGCGAGTGGGAGCGCCTCAATCAGCCTTACAGCGACAAGTGGGTGGGTATGTGGGTCAAAAATGGCTACCCAAAATGGTCGCCCTGGTAAATGGAAACAAGCACCAAAATCTGCCCATATCCTGGTGGTTCCATTTTGACCCCCCCTTGCAAGCCCAAGCGTATGCCGCAACACGGAAGCCGTTCGAACGAATTCTTTCCCGAAAAGCTTCGCATGCGCTGCATCTGTTCAACTCGCAGCTTCAAGACAGCGGCTCTTCTGGCCCGCGCGACGGGGTTGCTCCAAACTTGGAACCTGGTAAAGTGCGTGAAGGGAACCAAAGGAACCAAAGAACCGAAACCAGTTTTCGTTTCTGAGGATTCGTATTTCTGGGTACTTTTTAAAGGCTGGCTCGGGGAAACCCGGAAAAACATGGAGGCACTTTGACACCTAGGCTCGGAGCATCCCTGCCTGGAAGCCTCAAGCAGGCTTCACAGTCACCGCGGCATTAAGCAAGCCAGCAGCTTTCAGCGTGAGACTGCTGTCAGTGATGGGCTTTGGGGGGAAGCCTCCCATGATGGTCATGGCCATGCCACCCACGCACTGGGCGCAAAATGCTTGCAGGTCCCCCACGGTGTGGTCCTGACTTCGGACCAAAAACATGCCGTTTCCATAGGTGTCGTTCAGCGGGACCTTCCCATCCCCATGCTTCATATAGGGGATTCCCGTGGCTCACAGCTCCAAACCCCCCCCCCCCCGCTCCCCTTGCTGCATCAGCCAGCCTCGTTGAACTCTTGAGCCTTCCGTGTGCCATCGTGGAAGCGGATTTGCAGCTTGGTCTTGGGCTTAGCGTCATCCACCGCCATGGTGCCCTTGTCCGCCTCCACCGCTGCAGTGGAGGAGGAGCTGCCGCCCAGGGTGTTGCCCTCACCCGAGAACTTCACATAGGAAGGCGCCGGGGGCTCCTTGTACTCCTCCCCGCGCTTGTCGTGTACGGCCACGTGCACCGGCTCGGAGCCCTCGGGGCCCTGCAACTCCGCGGGGCAGCGCCCCGCCGCCATCTCGTCCATGAACTTCTTGTTCAAGGGGTCGGACAAAGGCCGGAAGGGCCCATCCCCCACGGTGAAGCCATTGCGATAGACCGTGACTACCCGGTGATCATCCGGCAACGGCCCGGATGCGCCGCCGCCAGAAGCCAGCTGCTGCATGCGTTGAAAGGCGTCCTTGCCATGTTGGGGGTGCGGGCCAAAAAAATCCGATGCCTTTGTGGGGGTGGGGGGGGGTGGCCAAACATCTTCCAAGGCAATGTCAAGGGCAGGACCATAGTAATCACGTGTTGCCCCTGTTGGCGAGGAATCATGTTTGTTTTGAGGGATTGCTTGGGTTTGTGTCATGGTCCTCCAAATTTATCCCGATTTTGATTTTATCTGCCAAAGAAGGGCCCCTCCTTGTTGGAGTCCGGGTGCTCGACTGCCAGGCCGCTCTTGTCTCCACCCACATAGCTGTCGGTGTTCTTCTTGTCCTCCTCCTCCTCCTTCTTCCGCATCTCATCCAGCGAGCCGAATCCCGGCATTGCTCGTGTCGAAACCAGCAAAGCAAAGCCAAACTAATGCTCGAGCCCACAAACCGGAATTCAGCTCAAAAACCAATGCAGCCAACCCCAGCAATGCTCCGCATGCTCCACGCAAAAGCAGCGTCGCTTGGTGCTTTCTCTGCCTGGGGATCAATGGGCATCTGGCCTCGGTCTGGCAGAATGCTCGATTGCATGGCTGGCTCACGTCGCGGGCGAATCTGAAATCATTGCAATTCCCGCAAATGGAAACCCCTGAAACCACTAAAATCACTGAAACCCTGAAACGACTGAAACCCTGAAACCCCGCAAAATAGACGGCCGAGATGCAGTGCTCGGCATTGGGCGCCAGCTTGCCCTTGCTTCTGCCCTTCCGCTTGTCTTTCGGAGCGCCTCGAATCCAACGTATCGAGATTCCCATTTCACAACCTGAAGCCTGAGTCATTCAAGCCCTATTAGGTGAGTCCACCCAAAGTCACGTCAAGAACTCACAGGCTGGAAAGCTGCGCTGTAGCAAAGGACTGTCAAACCGAAGTCGGCCTAAGCCAAGCATCAGAACCTCGTACTGAAGGTGCCCGCCAAAAATCAAGCAAACATGTGAGAGGCTGGAATGACGCACCAACCTTCAACCGAGCTTTGATTGCGGCTCACCTTTTGAAAGCCTTTAGGTTATGTCTGAGATGTTGTGACTTTCAATTGACTGGTGCGCCCCGCCCTAAGTACCTGCGCACTGAAAACTGCAGCCAGGCTTCTCTCCACCAAACCCTCCTTTGGAGTCACCTGCCCAGGAATGCGCAGGAAGAAAACAACATGGAGCCGAGCCCGGAAGTGCAAATGCCTTCTTACATGACCTCGAAGTTTGGTGGCTGAATGTCTAAAACCGTTCAGAACTGCCAGCCGTCGAATTCACATGCAGTCTTGCAGGCTCCCTCCCACGCTGGCAGTGGACACTTTGTCTGCCCGCACAAATGCGAGCCAGCCTCTTGCGGGAAGGAACTCATGGGGTTCATCCTCGGCTCCGGTTCCCTGCCCCCCCGGACTTCACATGACACGCAAAAGAAGGCCCCTCCAGAAACAAGTGGGTGAATCACCTGCCGACATAGAGAACTCTCATATTGAATCATACGAAGTTGCCCCACCATGGGTCATGTTTCACTCCAGGCACGCTCGCAATGCTTCGCCAACTTGGGGCAGTCACCCAAAATTCAAAGTGGAAGGGCTACTGGTCAGACTGCGCGGCCAAACAACACAGAACGAAACCACAGGGTGGGGCAAAGCTGTGGAACACTGACAAATGCAGTACAGGTCATGGTAAGTGCAGTACTCCACCACCCAAACAGAGGAGTACCACTAAAACCGCGGATCTCAACATTCCAAGGCCCGGACATCATCCCCATCATGGGGTTCATCATCATCATGGGGTTCATGCCCATAGCAGGCCTTGGCTAGTTGAGCACTACCGGTCTGCCAAAAAACAAACGCAGCGGCACACCACGAATCACCACGACAACACTACCATCTGGCAAAAGGATCTTGCGGATTCAGCTTGACAAGCCAGCCACCTGCCGCAGGACGAACTGGGTTCAACCGAGCTGCATTCCCATGTTGCCCATCATGTTCATGGGCATCGCTCCAGGCATCGCTCCCGGCATACCCATGCCCATGCCGCCGACCTGAAATTGGGCATGCGGAATGGGTGCCTCTTTTTATTTGTCGGACCTTCTTTGAAGTCATTTCAATTCAGATCTCGACATGTGCGAAGCATCAATCCATCTTTCTAGGGGTTGATTCCCCATTCTTTCCAGCCAACGTTCTCTTCACAAACAAGCCATGTCCCCACGGGTTTTGGGGTTGTTTCAAAGGTGACAGCCCAAGCGTGGGGAAGGTCCTAGTCTGTGCTGAGACAGCTGCAGGCTGCATGGGGCCCCCCATGCCCATGCTGCCCATGCCACAGCCGCCACAGCCGCCACAGCCGCCACAGCCGCCACAGCCGCCACAGCCGCCACAGCCGCCACAGCCTCCGCCTAGGTAGCATGCGTCTGTTTGTGCACGGAACTTACACATAAAATGAGGCTTGATCCCCATGTCATGTTTACGCTCATGAAATTCACGAACAACCTGTTCCTTCTTAAATCTTCTTAACATCATCCACACCATCCCCCTTATCCCTGCGCTGAACCATCCTGATTGGGGAGGGCCCCTCTCCACAAGCTACAGGCGCAAAAAAATCGACGGTTTCTCTGTGACAACCTTTAGAACCAGCCTAAGGGGGTTCCTCAGGAACTAGACCAAACATTATCGAAGCTCCATTCCCATTGCACTCACTAGACCACGGAAGATGATAAGCAAAGGGATGCATCTTCCACAAAGTTTGCTTGAGCCAAACCATCTCACGAAAGCGCTCCTTCAAGGCATGATGTGACGCCATGCGACCTTGTAGACAGACAGGTCTTCAGAACAGGGTGGTGGGAAAAGACCCCCTTTTGTGATACAACCAAATCGGCTTCCCAAAGACCAACCCCTGATACAATGGGGGAGATTTCCTTACAGCAGTGGGGATAAACCCCTGGATCCACAACGCTGTTCAGCATCTAGGTCCTCCAATAGAGAGGTTAGAATAAGGGTACCCTTTTTTTCTGCAGTCTATTTTAGTAAGGGAACCCCCCCTAAAAGGGCACTACTGGGGGACCCAGGCATGTTATGTTTCCCGTGTTGCTCTCTCCCATCAGACCTCCGAGCACCGCACTGTCTCCCGCCATGGCGGGCCGGGCCCCGCTTCGCTCGAGCCGAAGGCGAGACGAGCGGAACTGGGCTGTGCGAACCTCGCACGCGAGCCAGCCGTTGGGGGATCCCACTACAGGGGAAACCAATAGAATCTGGTATAGAGACTCAAGATTGACTGTGAAGAACCCAGGCTAAAATGGTGGGCCCGCGGAAAAAATCTGTTCAAATGGGAACCAACCCGACTCAATTGTTCAAATTAGATTTCAACTACTTCCATTCCAAATGATAAGTTAGTTAACACTTTGAGTTTAATTGTGATGTTAAATGGGAAATTCGTGCCACATAATCATTATGTTGAAACAGATTGTAAATATGAAATCCTTCCAATTCCAAAGGGAAAGACCTTTCATCTCCTTTTCAAACAGGATGTTGGTTGGAGCTGAATCAGGTCTGAGAATTTCAGTATTAAACACATGCTAATCAGAAAAAACAAGCTGGTTGTTTCCTAAAGTAACTCTTTTACATCAGATGTAAGCAATGATTCCTTTCCACAGGATTCTACAGTACCTGTTGTTCCATTAAGCTTTTACTTTTATATAGATAGGTAAGAAAACACACGCTGGTTGTTTCTCAAATTAAGTTGAACAGAATGCTTTAGTTTAAGTACATGTTGAGTAGGAATCAACTAGAATGACCTTTCTGAATTGATTGTACATGTGAAATATTTTGCAAGTAGTTTTGTTTGGGTAGAATTCAATTAGATCTTCAATAGAACGAAACAAGGAAGCACAAGCGGGCGTTTCAGAAATCCGGTAGATGTGTTTTGTTTCCCAGGGCTGGTTATATAAATGAAACATGTATGTACACATATCTGTACAGACATGTATGTATGTATGTTACGCTTTCTATCATGTGTTCAGACTGGCAGGGGTCGGCGGCAAAGGGCAAAGGGCCGCCGACCTTACAATTACAAAACAAAAGCAGCTTGGGCGGTTTATTTCTCTCGTTCTTCTTTTCTTTGCGGGGAGGGTTGGGGGGGGAAGGGCCTTATGATTGCGGGGAAGGGAAATGTTGGTTCGCTTTGCATGCCGGTGAGCCGCGAGATGCTGCAAGCTCCTTTTGCCCTAGCTTCACTCCGAAGGCTCAGGCCTCAGGCGCCCTGCTTGGGCGAGCGCATCGTAGGCCTGTTGCACCCGTTGGAAGTCCACACCGCTCTTGTCCTCCGACTTGTCCTCTGGGAGACAGCGACATGGCAACTGGTATCCAGCGCGATTTCCCGAAGACGTGGACAAAAAAAACATGCTTGGTGTGCACAAAGCTGGGCAATGGAAGCTTTTGGTTTTTCTTTGTTTCCCCTTTTGGCCCCTGCGTGAGTGCCGGCAGCTTCTGTATGCAAGCCAAAAGGCCGGGTGATGCTTCAAGGCGAGAGCACCTTGGGCATGGCGGCTTGCGCCGCATGTCAACCCTCTGTCCATCCCCATCACCTACACCGCCAGAAAAGAAGAGCATGAATCAAGGGCATGCATTGTGATTTTTAGGATGCTGTAGGCTGTAGGCAAGGGTTCGGTGGCTTCGAGGTTCGCTCCATGTCTCTTCCGTGTCCTTTCTGCACTTGTGTGGCTCAAGCCCAATGTACTGCACAAAGCCGCACGCACTCGCGCGCACGGCTACCTACAGTTGGGGGCGCCTACCCAAGGCACGTTGCGCAATATTCGAAAGAAGCGAAAATCTCTTTGGGGCTGCTCGGGGCTTGCGCGAAAACAGGTTGAACACCTCGCTCGTTTCCTTCTGGCCGTACAGGCATGGCCTAGGACGGCGAAGCAGTTCCAAGTGTTACGACTTCAAGCGAGCAGTTTTCGCAGGCAAACAAATTGTTCTGAAAGTCTTTGGCGTGACGTGCGCTGGACTTGCGCATGACTTGCGCCACTTACGCGGCTGGTCGTCCCGATTCCGAGCGGCGGAGCAGTGAGTTTGATAAGTCCAAAACAACTTAGGATCATCCCTCAGAACAACCACTCCCTTCTGCACCCGTTTGAACAAATTTCGAGTATAAGAACTCATCTCGCCAACAAAACTTTCCGCGGAGGCAGCCCGACCTGAGCCGAAAGTTGAACTTTGCCGGGAATCTGTATGACCCAGTGGACAACCCCGAGTTGCAATTCGCGGCTGTCTCGCGGGCTGCTCGGTCAATGTGGCCTTGTCACAAACCAGGGCAAGAGGTTTCAAAAGGAAAGAGCTTCGTTGCGCCAGTGCCATTTGAATCTGTCTCCGTTTGGTTGAACACAAGGGTCTGTCAGATGTTGAGGATACCTTTTTGTTGGGCTCGCCTAAGGGGAAACCAACCGAATCCACCAATCTTGAGGATCCCGAAAACAGGGTGCCCCACCTTCACAAGAAACATAACTCAAAGGAACATTTTTTCTAAACCACCCAAAGAAATGGCTTCATTTCCCTTCTGAAGCTTGAGCCGCACCTTCAAAGGGAAAACAGCCTGAAAGCGCGTCTCAGTTGATCAGTGACGCTGGAAAAACAAGGGAACCCTTTTGGCACATGGCGCATCCTCGATCGGCTGCGCGGGTGAGTGGGGCACGCCGCCCCACCACCAGGAACGGAGGCCCTCAGGGCCGTGACACTACAAGCTCCTCGGATAGCCAAGGCTCAATCCGCAGGCCGGGTGAGCAGGCCCACCGGCGCACTGTACAACAAGGCAAGCCGGGCAAGACCCCGGCAGCACACCAAGGAAGGGGGAAGGCGCAAAACTGCTGTACAAGCGTAGGGCCCGAAGTTCGACAAGCAAGCCCAAGGAAGTCGGGACCTCCGGAGCCACTGGCACACGCCACAGGGATATGAAAAGCACCATGAGGTAGCAGCCGCTCACAGCAGGGGGCATGTATCCACCAGGCTGCGGACTTCTGAAAGCTGTAAAGACGCAAGGGCACGATGGGCAAGGCAGCCCGCATCACCACCGCCGAAGAAGCCCAAGGTGACAAAGGGCACAACCCACACTCAGGCAGACCCGCCCAGAGAAGCTGATGCAGAGCGTGAAGAGAACGAGGCATCAAAGGGGCCGAAGGCGCGCAACGAAGAGGGCCAGCAAAACCTTCACCCCGTAAGAAAGGGGGTGTCTCGAGGCTGGGACTGACCCAAAGGCCAGGATGCCTCACGGGTGAAGCGGACCGGCAACAAATGCGTCATCAAGCGGATAAGCTCCCCGAAGACGACACATCACAAACACGGCGAATGAAGGGTGACCAGGGGGTGCACGAGAAGCAGGTTGAAGACAGAGCTGCCAGCCATGGCTTTGTGGACGCAGGGCCGGACAGTGGAGCCCCAGCCCTGCCCCGGGGGCTCAGCTCCCTGAGCTGAGGGGTACTTGAACCCGGACGGCTACAAGGGAACCCTTTTTGGGGTAGCCCATTTTTATTGGGGCAGCCACCCCCCCCCCCCAAAAAAAAAGAAGGAAACAGGGTGCCACTGAACAACTGAGGCGTCTAAAGCCACCAGAAGGTGGCGTTGACCCTCGAAAGCTAAAGGTCTCGAAGCTAAGCCACGGTAGGCCTTGCGCACCGCCTCTGCACTGGCAGTGTCGGACAGGCCCAGGGTGCGGAAATGGGCGGAAAGCCGGCCTTCCTTGGACAGAGCCAAAAAACCAGGAAACCAGAGACCCCAAGAAGCTGACTTAGACTTCCAGGTTCCGTTTCCCAGCTGCTGGTTCGGATTGCTTGGTTGGGATTGGTGGTTTGGTGGTGTCCCATTTACCCCCAAAATCCCCAAACAAGAACCCCCCAAACCACTCATCGAAACCGAGCTTCAGCTTCCAAGAAGTGGTCCTATGACCCAAGGACTTCGGATTGAACGTGTTCTTAGCTTCTTAAGGGTTGCCATGGCATTGTTGAACCCCCCTTATCTTCCTTCCACAAGGATCCTCCCCGAACAGCACCTCTCATGGTATGGCCAAAGGAACTGCTCCACCACAAAATTCGGCGAAAGCCTCGCCAAGGCTTCGCTTTGCGGGTGCTTTGCGAGTTGTTTTGTTTAAATGCGCTTCCGAGGGAGAGCCGTTTCATGACCAGGTGGCATGTCCAGCGCGAGGACGCACATAGCCGTTGGAAAAGAAATACCTCGGAGGCCAAGCCAGGCAATAAGCAAATATACACGTATAGGTTTTAATTCAAAACAGGTCCTTTGGTGCAGGCTGGAGCCCGTCTATTTGAACTTGTTTGGGACCTCTTGAAACCAAGCGTCTCAGCGTGCCAGTCTTGTCACTGGCGGTTTGTGTTTGTTTCGCAAGTATGCAGTGATGAGACCTGCTGGCAAGCAGTTCTGTGACGGCACGGTATATTCATCGTTTTGAAGTGCTGACTATTTACGTTTGCCTGACTTCACTTTGCACGGCACATTGATGGAATTCCATCGAAGGCACCTCCTGGACAAGGTTCTGCGAACCTTCTTATCTGCTTGAGAACGTGTCCCGGGGCCCCAATGTCTTTCTGACGCATGCGGTAGCCCGCAGGCAATGCATACTGTCAGAAATGTGCGATGGGCCCTGGCTTGTACTGATCATGGGTTGCTTCCCCCCACACGCAGAAACAGAGGGGGTAAAAGCCTATGAGACCCTTGCAGGATCTTGCAGGCCTGCGCCAGAAAAGCTGCGCGGTGACATTCTGCAGGCGCGAGTCCCAGCTCAGCAATGCAACGCTCTCTGTTTTGCAACTGACGCCCATCGGAGCTCAAACTGCTAGGCTTTGTCTATACAGCACTCCGTGTCGGTGCTTCCCTGGTGCTTCTCCGCGTTGGGCATGAGGACTTTGTTCCTCGCGACTTCAAGCCAGGCTGGGAAGCCACCCTCTACACAAATGCAAAGCATAAGGCCATTGGCAACGAGCAACTACATGGATCCTAGACGCCAACCTCAGTAGATTACTTTTGCTCCCCTGCCCTCCACAGCGCAAGAGCAAGAAACCAGGGTTTCCCTTGAAAAGGTCTCCTACATTACCAGGCGGGCTGCTGATTCATCCCACAACCAAACCATGCAAGAAACTACTTGTTCTTAGGATTTCTACTCTGTCCAGCTGAGCGTCTCATCTGCGCAGCAATAGTCTGAGCACCAGCGCGGGTCGTAGCACTCAACATCTGTGCTGCCCAGCAAACTGGGATCTTCTTTGCGCTTCCACCTTGTGTCGTGGTTGGTGGTGTACTGGCTGCAGTAGATCTGCAAGCAGCACCTCGAGACACACATGCCGCATCCCCAACCAACCTAACAACCCAACAGCCCAACAGCCCAGTAGCAGCCCAGCCCAGGCTCAACAACCAGCCCAACAGCCCAGCAGCCCAAAAACGCACCAACCCAAACAGCCCAAGTGTCACGAGACACACAGAAACAAAAGGTATGCAGGCTGAGACGTAAACTTCACGAGCCGAGGCACTCCTCGTTGGTGCTGCCCTGCCACTTATAGGTGTTGGTGTCCACCTTCTTGTACCTTGGCCAGATGTAGGTTAGACCCTGCCAAAAGTCAGCATGTTACTGGTTGGCACCCTCCGAACCCCTGCAAAAAGCTCAAACTGTTTGCTGGCCGAAAGGGAAAACGAAGCAAGCCCTTCATGGGGCAAAAGGGCAAACGGGTTGCTTGAGTCTGGCCATGGTACCACTGCGTGCCCACACCTGTCTTGTTCAAGTCTGTGTCGCACACGAAGTCCTCGCAGTAAATCTTCTCGCAGCACTGCTCGAAGGTGCTGCCTTGAAGAGTTCCGTCATTCTCCTAGCGCGCCCAAGCGTCCGCGACACATGCAAGCCGTGTTTTTTGAGGGCACCCGTGGGGCTGAAAGGGGCACCAAAGTGAAACAGACAAACATCTCAAAGGTCCCCTAGTTTGAGACATACCCACACACACACAAAGAACGCGAACCGGAAATGAAACTCTGAAACTGTGGACTTCAAAGCGCATCATTGAATCATGCAAGAAAAGAGCGTGGTCACTTGCTACTTCGTCCGCCATGCTGCATGGCCTCTTGGCCCTTTTTCCCCACTCATGGGCACTTGTGTCAAGGGCACTTTGAAGTTTAGGTTTTGGAGGTATAGAGGTCAAACCACTTCCATAAGGGGGTATCACATACCCCCCCACCAGCTAACATGGAAGTGCACGGACCCTTGTAGAAAGACTACTTTCCTCTTGGAAAGGGCCGTTTTGCACTTCCATGTTAGTTGGTGGGAGGGTACTGCTTTGCAAGTTTACATTGTGCGTACAACAGCATCAACAATACCTCCAAAACCCTTACAGCAGTAAAAATCCCCCTGCTTGCGCCACTGCCTTGCTTCCTTCCCTTGGTTGACGTTGGAAGGGGAACAACAAATTAAATTTTAGCCGTTCAGCCGGGATTTCAACCACTAAACCGCAATAAGCAAAAATGCAAAATGCTTCCCAACAGCAACCATGTTCCCCCCCCATTTCCGGTCAGGGTATGTTCCAGTCGTTTTTCCGCCCTCGCCCGCAATTCTCATTTTTCTCTTTCGGGCTCCTTGGGCTTCCACTGCGACGAGGGGTCGCAGATCTCGGGCAGGCACAGCAGCCGGTCGCAGCACTCCTCTGCTTTCTGCCCCGCTAAAAGTGACTAACTTTTAGTGGTTTCATACGGAAAACCCGTCAGTTGGGCTTAAAAGTGAAAGGTGGCAACAAGTTAAAGCCGCTTTAACTGAAAAAAACATGTCTTAGCTGGCCAAAAGTTGTCCAGCCCTGACCTCCCTGCATGGGATGTCATTTGCACACCGCACTCCTCGTCCGACCAACCCTTGCGGTCCGTGTTGGTCAAGGCCACCTGGTCCGCGCCTCGAACGAGCTGCTGCGGATTGCCCCGGCTTGGTTCGGCTTGGAGAGATTCCCAAGCACTCAGCCAGGGGAAAAGAACAACACCCGGAAAAAAGCGAGGTTGTTTTGGCAATAGTGAGAGGTTCAACTTCGAGAGTGATGTTATTTGCAATAGTTATTTGCAAAAGTGAAGTTATTTGCAATATTCAAACCAGGGGAATAAATAACAACACATATTTCCCCTGGACAAAATTTGGCCATGGGTCAAAATCCAAATCGCTTAGCCCCCAGTGAACATCCGATTCAATCCAACCACTAAAATAGAGAAAAATGGGTGGAGAATTCACCTACCCCAAAGCGATACCATTTGTTTTGACCCACAGCCAAATGAAGTTATTTGCAATAGTGATAGATTCTCTTTAAAACCAACAGGGGAATATAAAACATATTCATAAGCAAACGGAAGTGACGCTATGAGGAGGCATTTGGGAGCTTGGGGTCAAAAATCTGGACCGGGCCTGTACCATGCAACATCAGGTCTAGATTGCACGGAAACCTGCAGCAACAACACACAATTATCTGAGATCCGGCAGCAGGCTCTGTTGGAGCGGCCCCGGCTTTCTAAAACATGCAGCAACCAAGCTTGGATGCTTGGGTAAGAATGCAACAGCCTAAACGCTCATGCAAGCTCCACACAAGCTACCTGCACGAACGGGCTAAGGACCTTCCAACGTGAGCAGTACACCTCAAGCTGGCCAGGACAACGCCTTCGCTCACTCCCAATGCCGATGCCACAATTTTCCCGCTTTGGTTTCTTTGACCTGCCAAAATTGCGTTCCTGCAGCCCAAACCCGAAAAAAAGAAGAAATATGTCCCAAATATGCACACACACAAATCCCATTGGTCGAATCAAACAAAGGCCAACCCCAAACGAACAGACACTATTTCCCACGTATGCCGAATCAAATCCCATGTGTCGAATCAACAAAAAGGCCATGGCGCGGTGCACCCACTTGGTGGAATCGCTGCACTTCCAGTCTTTGCAGCTCTTCTCTTCGCAGCACTCCTCATCGGTGCTGCCCAGCCGATTCCCTGCAGGTCTCGTCAAATGTTTCGGAGCTGAGGCAACTGAGGTTGGGGCAGCACCTGAAGAACCTCTGACTTGAGCAGCCAAACGCGAATTTCAAGGAAAGTTGTTCCATCCTGTTCAAATAAGTTCCCTGTTCGGGCCCACCGCCTGGTCGATTGCTCCACTTCTGGAGCAAAGCCTTCCAAACCAACATGAAATTGAGTTCTGAGCTCCACGAAAGTTTTCCAACTTGCAGGTTGGACTGTTGCCTGTTACCTCTAAAATGCGTGGGAACCGCCTCCCCGGCAAAATACCTATTATGCCGCACACCCGGCAAAGTGATTCGCGCCTGGGTTCACGAGCTTTTGCAGCGAGTCCTTGCTGCAGGTGTACTTGTTGCCTGAGCCGCGGTTTCGGGATGTTTCGCCGGCCGGGGCCGGAGACAAGAAACGAAGCAGCGCCCGCAGTTCTTCTTCTAGCCCTTTCCAAGAAACTTGAGTACTCTCCAGAGAGCAAGGAATCTCCGCGCAAGAGTTCAACATCGCACTTTACCTTTTGGGAGTGGTGTGATCAGAAAGTCTAGCAGACACCACGCAACTCAGCTTGAGGCCCCCGTCATTCACACTTAGTTCTACCTGGTGCATGCCAAACATGGGCAACAGGCTTCCGGCAAACGAACATCCCAATATAGCCTGCTTCCAGAGAGGATCCCTGTTCGGATTCTGACCGAATTGGTCGGCACACTGGCTGCCTATGTGTTGGCTAGTGCAAAGTCCTTGTCCTCCAGTGCTAAACAGACGGTTTCCCAAAACCAGGAGGCCCAAAAAGGTCGGTGTCCTTCTGCATTTCCCGTTAAACCCACCAACACCTTGCTAAACCGCCCACCCTCCTCCCCCGTTTAAGAAAGCACAAACACAACAAACACAAACACATCCAGGTCACCCCCCCCCCCCCAAAAAAAAAAAAACAAAAGGCGGTCCCAACCCCAACCACACACATCCAGGTGACCCAACCCCCCCCCCCCCAAAAGAAAGGGCGGTCCCAACCCCGCCACACAAACAGACATGGCTACCTCTAACCCCTGAGGCCCTGAGGTGCCGGCACGTGAGCTTCTCGCAGCACTGCTCCTTGCTGTTGCCCACCAAGGCCCCCTCCTTGGGCCGCCACCTGAGGGACCCGACCGGGCGGCTTGCCATTCGCCTACCAGGGGGTAACATCCAAAAAACAAATTGGGGGAGGGGGGGAGGGG